AAGAAAAAAAGACATCATTGAATTGATCCCTGACATGTACCAAAGAATCAAAAGAATAACTCACAATTTCCATTTTTAGCAATTCTTCATATCTCCTGCAATATGTCACAAGCTATTATCACTCTCTATATGTACAAGGTTCTGTCTGCTGACAATTACCAGCTATTATGGTACTCTATATGTACACGGTTCTGTCTCCTGACAATGACCAGCTATTATGGTACTCTATATGTACATGGTTCTGTCTCCTGACAATGACCAGCTATTATCAGTCTCTATATGTACACAGTTCTGTCTCCTGACAATGACCAGCTATTATGGTACTCTATATGTACACGGTTCTGTCTCCTGACAATAACCAGCTATTATCAGTCTCTATATGTACATGGTTCTGTCTCCTGACAATGACCAGCTATTATGGTACTCTATATGTACACGGTTCAGTCTCCTGACAATGACCAGCTATTATGGTACTCTATATGTACACGGTTCAGTCTCCTGACAATGGCCAGCTATTATGGTACTCTATATGTACACGGTTCAGTCTCCTGACAATGACCAGCTATTATGGTACTCTATATGACCAGCTATTATCAGTCTCTATATGCACACAGTTCTGTCTCCTGACAATGACCAGCTATTATGGTACTCTATATGTACACAGTTCTGTCTCCTGACAATGACCAGCTATTATGGTACTCTATATGTACACGGTTCAGTCTCCTGACAATGACCAGCTATTATGGTACTCTATATGTACACGGTTCAGTCTCCTGACAATGGCCAGCTATTATGGTACTCTATATGTACACGGTTCAGTCTCCTGACAATGACCAGCTATTATGGTACTCTATATGACCAGCTATTATCAGTCTCTATATGCACACAGTTCTGTCTCCTGACAATAACCAGCTATTATCAGTCTCTATATGTACATGGTTCTGTCTCCTGACAATGACCAGCTATTATGGTACTCTATATGTACACGGTTCAGTCTCCTGACAATGACCAGCTATTATGGTACTCTATATGTACACGGTTCAGTCTCCTGACAATGGCCAGCTATTATGGTACTCTATATGTACACGGTTCAGTCTCCTGACAATGACCAGCTATTATGGTACTCTATATGACCAGCTATTATCAGTCTCTATATGCACACAGTTCTGTCTCCTGACAATGACCAGCTATTATGGTACTCTATATGTACACAGTTCTGTCTCCTGACAATGACCAGCTATTATGGTACTCTATATGTACAAGGTTCTCTCTCCAGACAATGACCAGCTATTATCAGTCTCTATATATACACAGTTCTGTCTCCTGACAATGACCAGCTATTATGGTACTCTATATGTACACAGTTCTGTCTCCTGACAATGACCAGCTATTATGGTACTCTATATGTACACAGTTCTGTCTCCTGACAATGACCAGCTATTATGGTACTCTATATGACCAGATATTATCAGTTTCTATATGCACACTGTTCTGTCTCCTGACAATGACCAGCTATTATGGTACTCTATATGTACACGGTTCTGTCTCCTGACAATGGCCAGCTATTATGGTACTCTATATGTACACGGTTCAGTCTCCTGACAATGGCCAGCTATTATGGTACTCTATATGTACACGGTTCAGTCTCCTGACAATGACCAGCTATTATGGTACTCTATATGACCAGCTATTATCAGTCTCTATATGCACACAGTTCTGTCTCCTGACAATGACCAGCTATTATGGTACTCTATATGTACACAGTTCTGTCTCCTGACAATGACCAGCTATTATGGTACTCTATATGACCAGCTATTATCAGTCTCTATATGTACATGGTTCTGTCTCCTGACAATGACCAGCTTTTATGGTACTCTATATGTACACAGTTCTGTCTCCTGACAATAACCAGCTATTATGGTACTCTATATGTACATGGTTCTGTCACCTGAGAATGACCAGCTATTATCAGTCTCTATATGTACACGGTTCTGTCTCCTGACAATGGCCAGCTATTATGGTACTCTATATGTACACGGTTCAGTCTCCTGACAATGGCCAGCTATTATGGTACTCTATATGTACACGGTTCAGTCTCCTGACAATGACCAGCTATTATGGTACTCTATATGACCAGCTATTATCAGTCTCTATATGCACACAGTTCTGTCTCCTGACAATGACCAGCTATTATGGTACTCTATATGTACACAGTTCTGTCTCCAGACAATGACCAGCTATTATGGTACTCTATATGTACAAGGTTCTGTCTCCAGACATGTACACAGTTCTGTCTCCTGACAATGACCAGCTATTATGGTACTCTATATGTACACAGTTCTGTCTCCTGACAATGACCAGCTATTATGGTACTCTATATGACCAGCTATTATCAGTCTCTATATGCACACAGTTCTGTCTCCTGACAATGACCAGCTATTATGGTACTCTATATGTACACGGTTCTTTCTCCTGACAATGACCAGCTATTATGGTACTCTATATGTACACAGTTCTGTCTCCTGACAATAACCAGCTATTATCAGTCTCTATATGTACATGGTTCTGTCTCCTGACAATAACCAGCTATTATGGTACTCTATATGTACATGGTTCTGTCTCCTGACAATGACCAGCTATTATGGTACTCTATATGTACATGGTTCTGTCTCCTGACAATGACCAGCTATTATGGTACTCTACATGTACATGGTTCTGTCTCCTGACAATGACCAGCTATTATGGTACTCTATATGTACACGGTTCAGTCTCCAGACAATGACCAGCTATTATGGTACTCTATATGTACACGGTTCAGTCTCCTGACAATAACCAGCTATTATCAGTCTCTATATGTACATGGTTCTGTCTCCTGACAATAACCAGCTATTATGGTACTCTATATGTACATGGTTCTGTCTCCTGACAATGACCAGCTATTATGGTACTCTATATGTACACGGTTCTGTCTCCTGACAATGACCAGCTATTATGGTACTCTATATGTACATGGTTCTGTCTCCTGACAATGACCAGCTATTATGGTACTCTATATGTACACGGTTCAGTCTCCAGACAATGACCAGCTATTATGGTACTCTATATGTACACGGTTCTGTCTCCTGACAATAACCAGCTATTATCAGTCTCTATATGTACACAGTTCTGTCTCCTGACAATGACCAGCTATTATCAGTCTCTATATGCACACAGTTCTGTCTCCTGACAATAACCAGCTATTATGGTACTCTATATGTACACGGTTCAGTCTCCTGACAATGACCAGCTATTATGGTACTCTATATGTACACTGTTCTGTGACATTAAAAAACAATTTGAAACATTTAAAAAGAAAAAAAGATCTTTGATGACCCCAAACAAATACTTGTGTATTCTAGAGTCAGTGTAGTCAGTTTAAGGAGCTTTAATTAAATCAAACAAGAAGACTCAGATAATACATGCTACAGAGTGTCATGGTGTCAGAATAGTGTACATTGGATCAGCTTATCTTAATACAGCCAAGAAAGCTGAGATTGTACCAACAAACAATGTATTTTAGTGTTTATGTTTGGTGACAGAACAGTAAACACAGTCTGTATCAGTTATATGTGACTTTAACACAATTAAGAAGTCTGTGATAAATAGTGTGTATCTTTGATGATGTAATGATTCATGAGATTAGAGACCTGTCGGGTCACTAAACAGGATGTTATCAGTCATTAATTCATCACCATCGTGTGACGTATAGGTGCCCTGTGGCAAGACATACAATAAATAGATTACTAGCCAGATGTCTTAAAATCCTCTCAGGTCAGACTTGCTTCCTGGACAGGATTCCAACATGTACCACTGACTAAAATCATGTCATTTCACATAACATGGTGACCTCCCTCTACAGTTAATGTTGTTTGTCTGGAACAGTGATTATTCATAGTTTGCTAGATACCCCCCTCCCACTCCTCCTTCCCAATTCACCATGAAATGCCTCTCCCCCCCCCCCCCCACCTCCTCCCCACCCCCCTGCCTCTCAAAAAAAAAAACTATATTGCAAACTTTATTTCCTATTTTTGTATTAATCAATACAACATGTTGTTTTACTCGCCATTATAATAATTAAACCTTCTAACGTTTTACATTTACTTCAAAAACCATGAATTATGATTTAATTATGTAATGAAGTTTACTTTTCAAAAAATATAGTAATTAAGATCATTTTTCATTAAATGGAAGAAATCGCAAAGTGATAAACCTAGAAAATATAAATGAATAATTGTCATGTTAGGTATCTCATCTGGTGCTGTTCATGATGTTATATAATTTCATTAAAATCAACATTTTCGGCAGTACACTGGAGATCATATATAAATGAGAACAGAAGCCTGTAGAAATATGTCCGAGGTATACCTCATCTACTTGTAGTATTAACGGTTAATAGGTGAAATGTGTCAGTGATTGTTATTGTACATCTTCCTTGTCTTAGTATACAAAAGATATATTGAAAATGATAACCAGAGCAGTTTTTCACGTAATATCCTAAATTTTGTTCCTATCAAAAGAATTCACCAAGTTTCCCTGTAGGAGCTGTTTGCCATGCTCTCTAATGTATTGTCATGATGCTCTCAACTCTCAATGTCTAGTCTTCGAAAAACAAAATGTTTTCTTGTCTGAGTCACACTGTCGAAACTGTTCCTACTTCATCATTGTCTGATAGGTGATACAGTGTCTGAGGGCTCATATAGGATATCGCAACTGTCTTATGTTGTGACTGTTTAGTGAGACAACCTGGAAACATCAATTATCTCATTAACATTAGGGTAATGCAAGCTACTTTGAGGTGAGCTTGTTCATTGTTAAGGTCCCCGTTAAAGTTTTTTTTCTGTAAACCCATTTTGTGGCAAATAACCATTTCGCTGTAACAGAAGTGTAGTTACTAGTAACTGTGATTTTTAAGAATTTTTTAATGTAATGTACTAATGATTTGAATGCTGTCTTGATTTCAGATCTTCAGCTGGCTGCAGAACTAGGGAAGGCTCTCTTGGAAAGAAATCGAGAACTGGAGACACACATCTTACAGATTCAACAAACCAGCCAGGATCAACTTCTTGAAAATGAGGTAATCAACCACAAGGAATTTCTTATCTATCAGATATTAATTAAAAAGATTATATAACTGTAATTGAATTTGTTAATTTAGGCATCTTAAATATACATATTTTTAAAAAAATTCTTCGGTATATTGTCCCCTTTAGTAAACATTTTAAGTGTCCTCTGTAGTGTCTTGTTGTTAGATAAAAAAAAAAATTGGCAGTAAAATGGCATCATATATATATTTTCTTGAAAAATGTGGCTTGTTGTTTTTTATTGTTGTAGTTGATATATATATCTATTGCAGTACCTGAACAAACAATTGGAGACCCTAAGGGAAAACAGTGATGCACGCATGCGTGTTTATGAAGAATTAGATAAGAATGCTCAGGAACTGGAGAAACAGAATCAGCGACTGATTATTGACTCCAGAGCAGACAAACAAAGAATAGAAAAGTAAGCATTAAAGTCAGCAAATCTTTTTCTATAGGATTTCTTATCCAACTAGCTGGTCACTTGTTCTTTCAAATCATTAAAAAAATCCACTATGAGTTTCAGTATTGGTGAAACAGTAAGAAAGGTTGAAGTTTAATAAATATATGAAACCCATCTTGATTTTGTGCTAAAAATCACTTGATATTGCTAGAGTAGTATTGGTTTGATATCACTCAATTTTTGAGAAGTTACCTCCCTTATCACAATTTTTATTACACTGACTAAGTTAGAGTGATTATAACTAATAGCATTTATTTAGTCTCTACAGCTTTAACAATTGATAACAAAATTCTAGATATTGAATTGGTTATTTTTAGATAACTTGTATAATTTATAATTTTTTTGGCAAATCCTCTAAAAATTGCTAGAAGTTAATAAATGCAATGGTTTGAAAATTCTGAATCCTGTAGTAGCAGTTTATGAAAACGATAAATTTGAAGAACATGGATCACTTTTGTTTTTTATTAAGGTTTATGTTTTGAGAATCACTTCTGATTTTGAAATCCCTTGTTTTACATTGGCACCAGTTAGAATTTTTCATACACTGGCTGTTTCAGATTGACAAGGTTGGTTCAATGTCTGATCAGCTACTAGTGTTTCATTTAATAGTAAATATTTTGATTTCAAATATTCAAGCAAGCAAAAAAAATCCCAGAAGTTTATTTTGAATTAAAAGACACAATTTTAAAAGACTGTTGAAATAGCGTTAAGTTGTCGCTGATAAAAAATGAAAGGCCTTAACAATATTGAACTTCGGTTTGATGCTTGATAAGCCACTTACATATCAGGTCTTTTTTCTCAGGTTGATGGATACAGTTGAAACAATGGAAAACAAATGTGATGAATTACAGAAGAAGATAGATGATCTAAAAACTGAAAGAAAACGAGAGCATAAGCAACAAAAACAGGAGTCTCGCCGAGCAATTAGTTTGGCAAACTTGCGGGAAAATACAGACTACATAAAAAACCTGTACAATGGTGAAATTCATTGGACCTACACAGATCAGTTTAAAAATCTGCCTCTTAATCCATATGAAGTGGAAATAAAAGGCTTGCAGGAGACAATCAAACAACTGAAGGCTCAGCAACTCATTGAGCGAAGGAAACGGGAAGATTTGGAGACAGAAGTCAAATTACTATGGGAAGAAAATGAATCTCTGGAAAACAGAGTGAAAGATATGGATAAGAAAGTGAAAGTAAGTGAGGGGCTTGAGGAGGAGTTACAGAAGGTGAAGTTAAATGCTGGAAAAGTTTGTCAGCTTTGTGGTAAATCTTTAGAGAAAGAGGTACATAAGTCAGCTTTGGAGGCTGAAGTAGAACATGATGAACCAGAGGTTAGGAATACTGGGAAACTCATGAGGCTAGGAGGAGGTGGAAGTGTGTACGGAAGTACGGAGTCTGTCAGTAAGATTGCGCCCGACTCACAGCCTATCTCACCAGAAGAAGCAGACTCTCACAGTGTGTCCATTCTAAACGAACTGGAAAATCAGTACCAGAATTTGTTTGAGAAATATGAAGATTTACTTCAGGGTAGAAAACGATCAAGTTTTCACGAGTTTGAGGGTAATGAAGAGACCTTTGATGAAGCACTTCATCGTCACCTGGCGGTTTCCCACAAGGAGGTTCAGACATTGTTAAAGCTACAGAAACAGACATGTGACACAGGAACTGGAGGGGCTGCATGTGCTGATGAACTGGGAAGTCCTCCAGAATACAAATCTTTGTTCCGTGATATTTTTGCTACTTTGAAAAAATCTCGAATTGAGGAAGGTGGTGAACAGATGACATCATCTCATTCTACTCCAGCCACAAGTCCTGTCAGTTAAATTGGTAGCCAAGTCGCAGGAGACATACCATTCATAAAGTACAAAGTCATAGACAAAATGCCAATAAGTTGAAAGTCTTAGAAAACTTATCAACAAAGCTTAGATAATCTGCCAATGAGTTACATCAATTGTAAGGTGTTATTGTGACACTTGACCAATACATTTGGAGCAGTGATTGCTATGGTCAATAATTTCAAGAACAAGCCCTTTTAGTTTTCTTATAAATAAAGACTTGTCGTAATGGCCAATAATTATTCAAAACAGGTGAGCCAGAACAGTTGTGTATTAGTGTATCATCCTGTAAAAGTTTCCTTGTTCTACCAGTAAAGTTTTCCTTGTTCTACCTGCAGGTTTCCTTGCTGTACTTGTAAAGATTTCTATGTTCTACCTGCAGGTTTCCTTGCTGTACTTGTAAAGATTTCTATGTTCTACCTGCAGGTTTCCCTGCTGTACCTGTAAAGATTTCCTTGTTCTACCTGTAGGTTTCCTTGCTGTACCTGTAAAGATTTCCATGCTCTACCTGTAAAGATTTCCATGCTCTACCTGTAAAGATTTCCTTGTTCTACCTGCAGGTTTCCTTGCTGTACCTGTAAAGTTTTCCTCGTTCTACCTGCAGGTTTCCTTGCTGTACCTGTAAAGATTTCCTTGTTCTACCTGCAGGTTTCCTTGCTGTACCTGTAAAGATTTCCTTGCTCTACCTATAAAGATTTCCTTGTTCTACCTGCAGGTTTCCTTGCTGTACCCATAAAGATTTCCTTGCTCTACCTATAAAGATTTCCTTGTTCTACCTGCAGGTTTCCTTGCTGTACCTGTAAAGATTTCCTTGTTCTACCTGCAGGTTTCCTTGCTGTACCTGTAAAGATTTCCTTGCTCTACCTATAAAGATTTCCTTGTTCTACCTGCAGGTTTCCTTGCTGTACCTGTAAAGATTTCTATGTTCTACCTGCAGGTTTCCTTGCTGTACCTGTAAAGATTTCCTTGTTCTACCTGTAGGTTTCCTTGCTGTACCTGTAAAGAGGTTTCCTTGCTGTACCTGTAAAGATTTCCATGCTCTACCTGTAAAGATTTCCATGCTCTACCTGTAAAGTTTTCCTCGTTCTACCTGCAGGTTTCCTTGCTGTACCTGTAAAGATTTCCATGCTCTACCTATAAAGATTTCCTTGTTCTACCTGTAAAGATTTCCATGCTCTACCTGTAAAGATTTCCATGCTCTACCCATAGAGATTTCCTTGTTCTACCTACAGGTTTCCTTGCTGTACCCATAGAGATTTCCTTGTTCTACCTGCAGGTTTCCTTGCTGTACCCATAAAGATTTCCTTACACTAATTGTATTGTTTTCCTTGCTTATACTATAAAGTTTGCCTTGACATACAATGTCTTACTGTTTACTGTTTCTGGTTAACTTCTGAGTGAAGTTATAACCTGGAAATGTAACTAGTTTTTTAAGGTTGAAGATTCAAGAACAAAATAACCAGTGACTGGCTGAAATCTATGTTTTGTTTTTGTAGTAAGATCCTTTGTTTTTTATCTGTCTTAGGATTATCCTCCAACTTTAACATCAGGAGAAATTTATTCTAGGTAATCAATTTCGTCTACAATTGTTAAACCAAATTTGTACTACCTTAACAGATAAGAGAGACAGATCTAGAGCTCACAAGACACAGAGTTATTTCAGTTTCATGAGTAAAACTTTTCATTGCCTTCCTTTTTGAGGACAACATACATGATTTCATCTTTTAATGTCTGTAGCAGAAAATTAATGAACACATGAGTTTAAACATGAAGTGTATATCCTAGTCAGCATGGTGTTGGTACCATTATTATATATAGGATCAAAATCATTACAGTGATCATTATCATAGTATCCATTCTTAAGACTGTTACTGAAATATTGTACTTACATTGTCAACACTTCTGCCCTGGAAGTAAAGTTCTTTCCAGTGTTATGCAGGATTGAAATATTTTCAGCCAACATTCATTTGCAGTAGTACAGTAATTAATACAGAATATTGTCAAACCATCTACAATGTTTTTGCTGATTAAGGGGAAAAACCACAAAAAAAAAAAAAAAACCCAACAACCTCGAAAATGAAATAATACAACAAAAAAGTCTATGTCCTGACTTGTATGCAAAAATACATCTGTTTTGAAAATTTGGGCCATCAAAATACAACCTTAACAATAAGTAGGATATTTCAACTTGTCTGAAGTAATAGCATTAATAATGACTGATATATTAAGTTTATTGTTAGTTTACGTAGTCTGTAGTATGTATATATAACATTATTACATTCCTCAAAATCTCTGTCACCAATCTTCATCGTGTAAAGTTTGATCACATGGCAATGTAAAAACTGTTGATATTAATTACTGATATTCTGGACTAATTCCTACCCTATATAGTAAGAATGATATTTTCAATGATGTTTTTATACTTTTAATATTCTACAGCCAGCTAAGTTAAATTATTATTGACAGATGTGTCTGTTTTATACTAGTGTTTATTAGGCATTGTACAGCAACAAGATATATGTTATTGTAGTGCTTACAATTAGTCTAAAGGGTGATGTCACTTCTCTAAATAATACGGTGTCTCTCTACTTTATAGTATGGTGTCACTTCTCTAAGTAATATGGTGTCTCTCTACTTTATAGTATGGTGTTACCTCTCTAAATAATATGGTGTCACTCCACTAGTCATTGTGGTGTCATCTTCCTGAATGATATGGTGTCACTTTTCTTTATAGTATGGTGTTACCTCTCTAAATAATATGGTGTCACTGCACTAAATAGTATGGTGTTACCTCTCTAAATGATATGGTGTTACTCCATCATATTTTGGTTGCCATATGCATCTATAGATCTGAATACCTGGAAGTTTGATATCACATCCTCCAACAATATTTAGCATCACGTCCCATGATTGATTTGCTGTATTAGCTTTTAGTGCTTGAATTTTCTGTGTTGAACTCTGAGAGACATACACCTGTGTACCTATATGTTTTATTAAGTGTAACAGAGGAGGTTATGTAATTTATTTATGAGACACTTAACAAAACCAGATTTGTATATTTTTGTAGACTGTATGAGCCAAATAATCAAACTGTCCTTATGTTCCTGTCTGCATGTGTCACTTGTGTAAGTACAAATACAATTGCAATTTTACAGTATTATTGATGACAGTGTCATTATGCATCACACACCCTCAAAGTTCAAGGGGTATACTAGGGTCAGGTCATCAGACATCATGCACCCTCAAAGTTCAAGGGGTATACTAGGGTCAGGTCATCAGACATCACACACCCTCAAAGTTCAAGGGGTATACTGGAGCAAGGTCATCAGACATCACACACCCTCAAAGTTCAAGGGGTATACTGGGGTCAGGTCATCAGACATCATGCACCCTCAAAGTTCAAGGGGTATACTAGGGTCAGGTCATCAGACATCATGCACCCTCAAAGTTCAAGGGGTATACTAGGGTCAGGTCATCAGACATCATGCACCCTCAAAGTTCAAGGGGTATACTAGGGTCAGGTCATCAGACATTAAGCACCCTCAAAGTTCAAGGGGTATACTAGGGTCAGGTCATCAGACATCACACACCTGCAAAGTCCAAGGAGTGTGCTAGGGTCAGGTCATTTGTCTACCTATTTGGTGACAGCCCAGATGCTGATTGTCATCACTATATCTGTACTTATCTTTGTAACTCATGTTTGTAAAATTCTAAGAAAAGTTCTGTGTTAAGTGTCATTTTGATAATTATGTTATTCAATTTTAACAAGAATAATGCTGATAATGTATAAAAAAAACTTTTGCTGACATTATTGTGTTGGCAACCACAGCTGCCAAATTTGCATGACATATAATGCAATTTTCAATGAGTTTGCTATATCTGATGTCACAACAAGACAACCAAAGTGTCAGGTGACTTTACATGTCTCTCAGCCTCTTGTTAGTAAGGGTCGGAGGAAGCCATCATTACGAAAGCACTATGATATATACCAGTATATGTATAGGTTTTGTGTGTGTAGACATTAATAGTGTGATAGATGTGACAATTGTGTCACATGTAATAATTCTGTGATAATATAATGTGTTGTATGCTATTCTTAAAAATGAAAGCAGTATTTTGTGCTGTCCCTAGTGGTATCAATCAGTTAAGATGTTATGGGACAGTGGAGACATTAATCTAAGTTGATTTTCATCTTACGATCAATCTATGATTTATGGTATATAGTAATACAACCATATATGATCTGTGATTATATAATATACTTTACTATTATCCTATTTCATGCAGAAAACAAATTGATTATTTGCCAAAATCAGTAAGAAAAAGATTCAGCTTGATGGTGTCTCGTGTAATGTTCTTTTTAAATGGGTTTAGTCCTTTGTAGAAATTTGAAAAATAGCTTTTTTCTAAACATCTTATTGAAATATGTTTGGCAGTATAGCAATTTTGTTACAACAGTTTGTGTATGTACCTAATGTAATATTCTAAAGTTAATAGGATGCACTTAACTTGTACTAGCTACTACATGTATTATAAAGCTGTTCACTGAAGATTTTGAAAAGTTGGGGAGTACATGATCAAATGCATTTCTAGAATTCTATCTTACTAAAGTTACAGAAATTGTATTGTACATAATACAAATTGGAACCAATTGTAAGGGAGACAACTCTGGTACAATTATTGTGGATCATATTTACTAGAATACTATGAATTTTGAATGCATATTTGTAAAACTTTTGTCATATTATCCATAATTTCAAAACTCTCATTAGAACATTAGGCAAAATGGCTATGTCTTAATTGGTATAAAGTTTGTATAAAGTATAATATGATCAACAGGAGTCTGGGGATCGGTATCTAGCTATGATTCAGAACCAAATTTTTATGTTGTATGATTTGTGAATTTCCCAAAAATATACACATGAATAAACAATGTAGAAAATTAACTGAAAATGTTTGCTACTAGAATGTTTCTTTTTAAGAAGTGAACAATGAGTCTTGATCTAGTGCTCATAAGTCCTTAATTAATGCAGTAAATTATTTCATTGTTGATATTCCAGTAAGTGTGATTGAGATTTTACAGACTACATTTAGTTGTATGGACCATTGTGAATCTGAACATTTATTCATATGTGCGTGTATATTGATTAGCTGCCACTACTGAAAGCATAATTTTAAATCAGAAGTCAAGCTGTGTTTCTCTCGTCTGACAGGGTTTACAACTTGAGACAGAACAAATTCTAATCAATCCGTGTGTGGATGGATCAGAAAATACTTAAGTTTCATTTTCATTGTGTGTTCAGATCTGTGTATTTGATTAAATTGACAGAATTGTTTTGATAAAATTTAATAAAATATCATAAAAAATACATGAAATAATGTGATTGTTGTTGTACTAGAAATTAGTTTTTGTATAATGTTGGTGCATATATCACTTACACATCTGATCCTCCTACTAAACCGTACATGGTATAAAGCTGCAGGCACCACCCACTACACAATATACAGGCACCTCCCACTACACAGTATACAGGTACAGGCACCTCCCATTACACAGTGTGCAGGTGAATGTAGCTGTACTTTACCTCCCACTACACAGTGTGCAGGTATGGGTAGCTGAAATTTACCCACCACTGTTGATCACCTGTAACTGATAATTGGGTAGCTGAGTCTATCACATCCATTTATGTACTAGAAAAGGTAGGGGATGTTTCATTATGGCCATTGCTAAATTGCTTGTAGTGTATTCCATGAGACTTTGGGTGTATCTCGCTATGCTCCGTTCTCCTTTGCTTGAAACTTTATTTTTCCAAACTTTTTGACATAACTGATATATTCTTCAGATGTCCTCCACATCAAATGAACAAAACCTGTATTATGCTAATTTATGCTAATTTTATGCTAATTTTATGCTGACAATTATTTGCCATATTCCTTTATTTTTAATCTGTGTGAACGTTTAAAAGTAGAATATTCAATGTGACCTGAAATAATACTGAAAACCTATCCAAGGCTTGAACAGTCTTACTATCAATATCTCGCCATGATCAATACAGCCTTGGTCAAGTTTAGGAAGGTTTTCACGATTATTTCAGGAATAACGGGACGACAAACATGTGTCCAGATTACAGTTCCTTGAGGAAGGGATTTGAGCTTGATATTTTCCTTTACTTTCAATAATAGTTTGATATTGTTATGTAGCATAAGATGTAATAGTACTAAAAATTTACTGCAGTTCATTACTTACTGTCATTTGTTTTGTTACTTTATATGTTTATGAATAAAATGTTTGGTATGCAGTCAATGTTCGTTTGCTTTGTTCTTAGGAAACTGAATTCACTTATCGCCTTCTGCTGTTATGGTCGATTCTTAACTGAAATGGTCTGGATACCATACAATGATCCACACGTATGTTGTTCAGTATACAGGGTATCTAATGCTACCAGCTACTACAAGGAGACTTGTCTCAAAATGATCCTAACTCAATGGAGTAACAGATTCATCAAATAATCAATTTTTTGTTGTCCCACAAACTGACTTATCATATTTTCCATTGTTTCCTAATCATCTTGACAGCTATCTTACATAGAAGGATTTATGTTTAGTGATGTCGCACGATCGTCATAATATTTCATTAATTTGTTTAAGTATTTGTTACTGGCATTGTAAATGTCTTCCCTAAATATTTTACTTATAAAGCTCATTTCAATTGACTGGTTTCTTTTTTTTTTTTTTTTCCAGGTTTTTATCAATACCAGGTAGTCACATACATCAATCACATCACATGCATAACTACACGTCATACATTGTACTTGTATCTAAAATTAATGCAAATAATATAAAATATTACAGTGCATATGAAAACAAAAAAGTACATACTTGTTGACACTGTGTTAACAATACGTTGGAATACAATAATTCACTAATTTATTAACTGATTAATAAAGATCCATTTGTTTTGAATAATTTCTTGTTTTCTAAGACTGGTTTCTTCATGAAACAAATATTATGTACAATATTATATATATAGCTCTTTAGTGTGGCTCTTATCTTGTAAATATATATTCCAAACTGTCATGTCAATGACATTATTTTGGAGAAAAATTCTGCACTGTGACCATTTCTGGTGATCAATCAATCAAGAACATGTTGTGAAATGAAGTTTAACCATGGCTTTAAGGAATAATGTATATTTCAAAGTTTTATCTCAAAAAGATGATTTTTTGAGAAAAATGACTGCACTGTAACCATTTCAGGTGAGCCACTAAACAGTGATATGATATTTGGCCTTGGCTCTAAGTATATGAGGGCATTTCATAATGCTCATCATATCTTTTCAAAGTAAAATTTAAAGTTTGATTTCGTTGGGATTATTTTGGAGAAAAATATTGCACGTAAACCATTTTATGTGGTTATTGCATAACGTAAATGATGTTTGGCCCTGAGTCTAGGAGTTTTTGTTATGGCTCCAATCATCATTTTTGTATACATTCCAATGAATATTACAAATGTTTTGTTTTACTGAGATTGCTTCTATGTTATGTTGCTATCCTTATTTTAATAAATCTTATTCTATTTTTTTTTAAAGATAAAAAAAAAGTCTTAGCTGTTCTTTTCATATAATAATGCTTGTTTCTGTTAAACAAAGTTAATATCAATTAGATATTTGAATTACTATTGTCCTCTTGTTAGATACTTTTTAATTTGAATTTTTAAAATTCTTATGACTGTTTTTACGATTAATATGTAATGACTGGACTGAATAAAAGATTAACTATAGCTGACAAGACAACATGTTTTCTGGTCATCTATACTTATTGTTCATACATTACTACTACCAGACTTGTATGTTCCTTAGAAATCCATCTTGGGAAAATTACCGAAAATTAACGGAAATGTCTACACGAACGTTGGATCTCATTTCCTTTGTATTAAATAAAAGATAGTTAACTAAGAATTCAGTATGTTTTAAACATAATTTAAATAATATCACGTATATTTTACCGAATTTAATTATAATTAATTTCTGTGTCATAGTTTTCTATTTATTAGTTTGGTTTGCATTCATAGATAAAATATCTTTTCCTCAATATCGGTCTCTTATTGTTCATTGCCATGGTGAATATTGTTAAAGTAATAGTTACTCAGTGAAACTGGTTTTTTCTCCTTTCATCGTGACATACTTTGTTCGATTTCCAAACAAAATATACATTTTTAATGAAATTATACCCTAAACTGTTGATAAGACATAACAAAAAAAGGAATAAACCAAGTTGAGGCAGAAAATAAGACTGGTTGCTTGTTCGAGTCTATTTGTACGAGTTGCTTCCCGTGCGAAGAGCACCTGTCAAAATTCAGCCAATCAAAATCCTCGGAACAAACGTCAACAAAAATTCAGTTAGACGAAGTTGACAGGTTATGGCGGCTGAAGAGAACCTCTCTTCTTCATAAACTAGGATGGGCCGTTCATTTCGTGGAAAAGCTGCAGTATTATTGTAATTTCTGGTAAGTTTTCTATCAATACCATTGTCTAAATAGTTTTGTGACCACAATCGAACAGTTTAACTTACTTCGGAGAGTTTTCCACGGCGAACGAGAGAAGCCATGCAGCAGCCCGCTTTATAAGAGTATTAGCAGCAAGCATGTGAGATCATACACGATGTACAAATTAATGGCGACTACTGCTAAGTCACTCTGTGTAAAACAGAAAATTTAGTAAACATTATGTTATACAGCTTTTATGATTGTTTTTTTTAAACTCCATCGTTTTGACTTTCGTGTTGATTTTTATTTGTTGCTTAATTACATGTTTCTTATATAGCTTCTGTACCACCATTATCTCATTGTTACGTCTTAGTCAGATATAGATGTTAACGTTAAGTTTATATTGCATGTAGTTATGATTAAGTCCACACATCATGATTCAAACACACTAGCTGACATAATGCTATAAAATGTAATACAATCGGGAAACGCACATTCCTGCAGACTGTCCGCACAGGAATTTAATCAATGTCTACTGCATGATAATCCAAAGCTCTAATAACTGAAGAATTAGGCTCTAACAACTTCGTGAAGGCTGAGATTATACAAATTTAATGGCATACCTACTTCATTTGCTTTGAGTTATTGACAGATTATAGTATATTACTTAGGTTAATTAGTGGATTAATAACAAACATACCATGTTTCTGGAATTCTGTCTCACAAAAGGTTCCTTCAGGTTTAAGATAAACTGCAAGCAATCAGATAAAAATTCACATTTTCAATGCATGATAGAAGCTATTAGCAGGTTTACATAACAGCATAAGAAAGGAGAAATGACAAAAATCTGGTAGACATGATTCCAAACATCTATTTATAGATTCCATTCATTGTTTCGTTTCTCAGTTATCTTCAATAATGTAACATGAATTTTCATCTGATTCTTATTTATTTGAATTTCTTTGTGTCTACTGATTGTATATACTAATAGTCACAGCAGAAGGAAAATGCAAACATCCTCTCAGAGATTCATATCTAATTGATGCGAAAGTCTCTGAAATGCTTACAGTCCATCCAATTGAGTTACATAGCCAGTGTGATCACTGGCAGTTTGCCCAGTCCATAGAATATTTGCTCTTTATTATTGTACCAATATCCCTCCACGTTTTGTAGATCTTATCAGATTTGCTGCTAGAATGACCCTCCTTTCTGATATCTAGCAGCAAATTTAAGCAGATTCCAACTTAGTACTTTCATACTCCAAATGATTTATTGACCAATTAAATAGCTTAGTCCTTTGTCATTGGTTGTGATTCATCCATGTCCCATTGCATTGCGCATGTATTTTCCAATGTAAATCTCATGGGTATGTAATAAAATTCTGATTACCAAAAATTTTCTTTGCAGGTATAAGAAGGAAGATGCCGGTAGCTGAAGTATCAGTGTCTCTCTTTGAGGTCCTGGAGGTTCGGGGAGCACCTCTCACGGAACCTGAAATTTGGGGCATTGCCTACCAAAGTGCTCTTACCTTACATGATACTCTGGTACAAGGTAATTACTTATTATATTTGTCTTCAATAATCCAAGAATGACTTTTATTTCTGTAATGGAGAGGTTACCAATAACTTTTGGAACTTATATTTGAGTCATGCACTTATGCCTTTCCTGTGGGACTCGCTCAAATTCTAAGAACGTACAATATATCTCTGTAACTGGACTCATCAAAATTTTTTTAATAGTTCTTTGGACTGTTCTCTCTCGCACGCTGATCCCTTTGTTGATTTTCGAAAAATAGTAGGCATGATTATGCTGGTCCAGGGGTTTAGGGATAACTTTGGGCTATACAATTATTTTTTTAGGCATTTCATGGATTTCAAAATTACCCTAATCTAAACCAAACCTATGTAGGCCCCCAATTCTTCTTTTCAGCTTCTGGACATGTTCAAACTGCTAGAGTTAGGGTAAGACATTTTTAGGCCTTGGAGCCATTTTCTTAAACTAGCATAATCAAACATTCACAGCTACAGAGGGTTCATCCCGCTGAGGGGGATGAAGGTTGTCTCTTCTCGTCGCGGGAACACTGATGTTTGTCAGGGAGATAAACCAGGGACATTGTAGGAGCTGCAGAAACAGAAAACCTGTCAACCAACAAACTGGTCACTATTGTAAAGTTTACTCTAGAGACAAGGTCTTATGACCCTCAACAGACTAATATATATATTTATATCATAGTAACATAGAGCAGTTAGATCTAATTTGATTACAGCTTATATTTTTAGGACGCCAAAACCTGTACATTGTAAATGAATCAGACAGTTGTTGCAGTATCATGCACATTCAAGGCTATAATTCTCCCTGATGCAGATAAGCTGGTGTAGTGTAGCAATGCACAATGAACAGCGAAAATGATGCATTGTGCGAGTCATACTAACATTTTTTATAAGAACGAGAAAAAGTCCTGGTTTTTCCTTTACAACCAAATGTTTTTAAAGATGTCCACAAGTGAAATAGGAATGTATAGAAAAAGAATATCTTGATTTTTTGAGTGAGAGTGAAAGATAAGGTTTGAATCATTCATATCTTCTTCAGTACAAAATTACGATATGTGTAAATAGTATATTAGCATCTTCAATATTTCAGTCTGTGTTCTGATAGAAATATGTAGTCAAAGTGAAATGCATAATACATTAAACTCAGTTATAAAATATTGTCGCATCCCTACATTGTAGTAAGATATTGAAAGAAAAAGAAAAAATGCATTGTATTTTATTAACTTGGTGAAAGCTGGCTTTTAAAATATCATGTCCCGTATTAGTTAGAAAATATTCCATGCACAAGCTAAAACATAGTGAGATTAAGTACTGGTTTCATGAAAAATTACTGTTTTCACATATAAAATGTTGTTATCCAGGTGAAGGACATGAAGGGGGTCCAAATTTCGTGATAAGCCCGGATACCCTGACCTTCACTAGTGGTGGGGAGGTGCAGTTTCCACACGCCTATGGGACTGGCACTGAAGGCCACGCCTATGCAGCACCAGAGTTAAGGCAGATACCAGACTACGAAGGAGTTGACACAGAAAAGGTCTGTCTTTTAATTCATATTCATATTACATAACTGATAATCAAACTGGAGCTATTATTTTTAAGAGTTTCTGGTATAGATGTATGTTAATGTTGCTCCCTGAAACTTTACTCATTAACATATTTATCCAAAGCATACATTGTAGCAAAATCCTAATTGGTGTCGTCATGATATTTTATGACGTGGTGATGTTGTTGAACGAGTTGACAGTTGCATAATCATATCTCAGATCTTATTTTCATCATTATGGTACAAGATACACAATTAACATCGTAAAATAGTAATGTTAAGTTCTGTTGATGGTAGTGGTTATCCCAAGAGTAATTTCATGTATCTTTACAGCAATTTTGTGTTGTTGTACCGTTGAATTTATAGCATTTCGTTCACTTTTTAAACAAATTCATAAGATTTTAATGATTGAACACATCTTTTGACTTGTTACTAAGGGCATTGTCATGTATGTGTGTATGAACATGAAGAATTCCATTCATATTGAGTTATATTAGCATCGGTGCTGATTTTTCGAAAGTGCAACCTTGTAGCCTAAATGGAAATGGAAACTCTTGTGTCATTAGTAGACACAATAAATCCAGCAATCTGAATTCTAGTGTCCACTTCAGTAATTTCAACCATAAATCATCAGAATACCATATTTTTCATGGCATCACTGGGTTTAACCATCCCAAAATCAAATCATGAAAACTTCTTAAGATGGACAGTACATTTTGAATGGTTAAGACAATGCTCTTTATGGCAATATTAATTTGGTATCACATAAAATGTCATTTAGAGGTTTGCACTTATTGAAATTTGATGTCACATGACATAACGGTAAGTGCATATGAACCCAAAACATCACTATGATATCAGGTGTGATACATATCAGTTATGGCTATGAGGCATGTACTGGATAAGACATGATGAATGAAGGCGTGGAAAAAAGGTGGTGTATTTGAAAAGCAACATTAATGGTGACGCAAATGGACTATTATTTAAAGAATTTAAATGTGTTCCATTTAAATTTCTGCAGTTTTATTCTTACATAATCACCATTACCTGTTTGAATTAATAGTGATATTGGAATATAAAAATTAAATTGGATGTTTTTTGTACAATCAACACTCCTTAACCTATCCTAACATAATGACATATAGTGTTCTTTTTTCCAAGATTTCAGTGTGCAAATTTGTTGGAATACCTTCCTGTACAGCCATAACAATTACATATAAAGCCTTGATATATGTTCAGTTCTTTACTAGTAGCATATTGTAAAGTTTGCTAACAATGGATAACATACAAGTGGAGATGTGTTCACTTTGAAGGTCAAAGGTACTATCTCATAGACACAGAATTTAAAATTTTAGTTACGTAACTAAAACATAAACCTAGACCGCAAGTTATATTTTTGCTGTTGTAGCTTTCATTAGGGTGGAAGACTACTTATTTACTGAAATATAATTTACTTTCACTATTCAAAATGTCACAATGGCAATTGTTCATTTGAAAGTAGTCAATGAAATCCAATGGGGACCTTCAGTGCAGAAACTATTGAAACTGGTGTTGAATCTACAAAATGTATGATTCAACTACAGTGATACAATATTTTATTTGATTAAAGTGTCATTTATCAGTATCAAAGAAAACAGCTCAGTTTACATTAGAATAAAAGCTTTCTAATGTAAAAACATGAAAATATTGACATACAGCCAAATTTGGCCTACGAGACACTTAAAAATTGTTACACCGAAAAGTAAGTAAAATTTTCTGTAGTATACACACTTGTATTTTTCAAACACAGACACCTGTGTTACAGCAGCCACTGAAATATTTTGTAAGCATAGATTTGTCATCAAAACCTGTGATTTACTGTTGTCTTCAATTAGTATATGTATAACTTTGTGGCAATTGCAAGGAGCAAGTACTTGTCGTTGATATTTATGCTACCACCAGTGTCATGTTTAAAACTAGTATTACAAATTGATGGTATATTTATTTTATTTATGGGAGGTGCTTTACACTCTTGAATAGCATGGGATAAGTACATATGGAACTGCTGCTTGTTCCCTCCTCTAATCAAAATTGATTGGACTAATTACTGAGAATGTTCCCACAATCAGCTGGAGTCTGGTCTCTGTAATGAGTTACCATTATTAACCATGTGATGAAGTTAATAAGCTGCTGCTGGGTAAGGTTTACTTTACAACTGGTGTTAACAAGTCTACAACTGGTTGATGAAGCAGTTGACTGTAGACTTGCCCATGCAAGTAGAAGTTGGTGGTGGACTGTTAGAGAAAGCTGACTCAGGTCAGGAAGTCTGTGGTTATACTTGGCCACTGATGTGCTTACACTATTTGTGTGTGTTTATGTGATCAGGCTATCAGACAGTTATCCAAAGTTCCTCACTGTTTGTTTCCCTATGCTTGCCATAGAGGAAAATATAGTTATGATTAGCTCATTTAGATAATGCTATGAAAATATCTGTTTCAGCTTACTATGAGCCAAACCTATATTTTAGGACACATTCTTATTTTTGAAGGCAGATTTTTGAAGGCAAGCCATTTATTTGGTATCACAGTTGGGATTTCCTTTCTGTATCTAACCTTCCAAAAATGTCTTTGAATGATTTTTCAATAAGATTTTCCAACAGACTTAAAATATTTAGTTTTTACAATTTTGCAAAAAAAAATATGAACCGTTTTTGAGACCAAACTTTGTTACTGGTATTAAAGGCAATCCCTGCAAGTGTATTTGTATCAGGTCTATTGGAGATGCCAAATTACTGGTCACTTGTGGTTTTTAGATTGATATTTCCATGTCATGAACTAGAAAGTTTGACAAACACTGTGTAACATACAGATATATGGTCTAAAGTTTCTGTCATGTGATTGTACATAAAAAATGAAAATTTATGAACTTCCACAATAGATGTTAGTTGTGATGTGAGGTAATACATTATAATATCATCAGTCATATAAAAGACCATTATGTTAATAACACCAATATCAACTTGATATGACAAATGTAGCAATGGTTAAATATAATGATTTGATGAAAGAGTCCATAAAATGTTTTCATTTCATCAGAAGATATTCACTGTAGAATTTATTTCTTTAAATATAATATACTTTAGATATATACTTAATTGAAAATAGAAAGATAGTCCTTATTTTTTCTTTATTTTTCGGAAATTTGTTAGTAAGGGGAATATAACTTATTCTCAGCTGTAATCAGAGCACACATTCATAGGAGAACAGCTGCTGCTTAATGACTTAAACACCTAAATTATCATAGTTAATGAAATAAATGCTCTCTTATAAACTGACTAAATATCTCTGAAGTATTATCTGGCGTTATTTTGACAAAATAGAAACAATGTATCGAGATAAGTCATAGTCTAAGGAAAATGTGCCATATTACTAGTTATAGATGACACCTAGTTATGTAGGAAGAGTTAATTAGCTAGACGACCAACCAATTAACATCCAACCAAAGTCATATTATTATAGATTTGTGGTAATGTACAGCATTATTTGGTCTTTATATTATATGACCTCAAAGTATGCGCTAAGGAACTATATTATATGACCTCAAAGTACGCGCTAAGAGATATATTTCTGGAAAGTGAAAAGGAAAACATGATTCTGAAGCATTTCTACTTTGACACATACTGATAATGAATTAACACACTTAAACCATTATAATGTTAGATTTTGAGATGGCCTGATGATAAATCCTTCCAAGGATTTGTTATGACCAGATAGAATTCTGTACCCCAAGGATTTAGTGGGTATTCTTTCATGTGAAATATAATCAGTACATCTCTAATTACTGTACAACATTAGTAAGCAACTGTTGGGTACGCTAGTAGCTCTGTGATAGGAACAGGCTTAATATAGTCTTATTGTCTCCTGAAACATAGATATGCCTTCATCGGAGGATGAGATATCATGGAGCTACAGGAGATTGAAAGAGAACTATCACTCCAGGTGCTTTTAATGTAGGGGGATATATATCTCCTCATGATATTTGGCATCGGATCAATATTGGACTTAACCAGAGTTCAAATTTACCTTGGTACAATTTAGAAATGAAACAAAACAATTAATATTACATGCAAAACACTATGTTTTCTAAGAAAAGAATACTAGGTTATAGTTGAATAGCCACCTTATCATATTGGAGTTTAACAGTCAAGACTTTTGTATACTATTGTGGTACATAAGACAGACAGTTTTATAGGTACAAATACAGGAGATGTACTAATGGTGATGCCAGGTACTGATACAGATGTACTAATGGTGGTACCAGGTACTGATACAGATGTACTAATGGTGGTGCCAGGTACTGATACAGGAGATGTACTAATGGTGGTGCCAGGTACTCATACAGACGTACTAATGGTGATGTCAGGTACTGATACAGATGTACTAATGGTGGTGCCAGGCACTGATACAGGAGATGTACTAATGGTGGTGCCAGGTACTGATACAGATGTACTAATGGTGGTGTCAGGTACTGATATAGATGTACTAATGGTGGTGCCAGGTACTGATACAGATGTACTAATGGTGTCGGGTACTGATACAGATGTACTAATGGTGGTGCCAGGTACTGATACAGATGTACTAATGGTGGTGCCAGGTACTGATACAGATGTACTAATGGTGGTGCCAGGTACTGATACAGATGTACTAATGGTGGTGCCAGGTACTGATACAGATGTACTAATGGTGGTGCCAGGTACTGATACAGATGTACTAATGGTGGTGTCAGGTACAGGTACTAATGGTGTGCCAGGTACTGATACAGGAGATGTACTAATGGTGATGCCAGGTACTGATACAGATGTACTAATGGTGGTGCCAGGTACTGATACAGATGTACTAATGGTGGTGCCAGGTACTGATACAGATGTACTAATGGTGGTGCCAGGTACTGATACAGGAGATGTACTAATGGTGGTGCCAGGTACTGATACAGGAGATGTACTAATGGTGGTGCCAGGTACTGATACAGATGTACTAATGGTGGTGCCAGGTACTGATACAGGAGATGTACTAATGGTGGTGCCAGGTACTGATACAGGAGATGTACTAATGGTGGTGCCAGGTACTGATACAGATGTACTAATGGTGATGCCAGGTACTGATACAGATGTACTAATGGTGGTGCCAGGTACTGATACAGGAGATGTACAAATGGTGGTGCCAGGTACTGATACAGATGTACTAATGGTGTCGGGTACTGATATAGATGTACTAATGGTGGTGCCAGGTACTGATACAGATGTACTAATGGTGTCGGGTACTGATATAGATGTACTAATGGTGGTGTCAGGTACTGATACAGATGTACTAATGGTGGTGCCAGGTACTGATACAGGAGATGTACTAATGGTGGTGTCAGGTACTCATACAGATGTACTAATGGTGGTGCCAGGTACTGATACAGATGTACTAATGGTGATGCCAGGTACTGACACAGATATACTAATGGTGGTGCCAGGTACTGATACAGATGTACTAATGGTGATGCCAGGTACTGATACAGATGTACTAATGGTGGTGCCAGGTACTGATACAGATGTACTAATGGTGATGCCAGGTACTGATACAGATGTACTAATGGTAGTTCCAGGTACTGATATAGATGATGTACTAATGGTGGTGCCAGGTAGTGATTCAAGAGATGTACTTACGATGGCGCTACTTTCTTTCTATCTTAATAGTAGATCTCCTATATTCAGATGCTATAGGTGTATTTTGTTTCTTTATGACCGTTACCATGGTGTCATGAACAACTTCATCAGACCCAAATTATTTGTCTATGTATCTGGAGTAGATAATAGTTGTCAATAATGTTGTGATTATAGATGGTACTTTTTTGTTATTGAATTATCCTGATGAATACACGTTCGTTGTCACTTTGTGGCAAATGTCTTCAAGTTTTGATAGCTTAGTAAATTTTGTGCTATGAAATTAAACATTGTGTATTTCAGAGTTTTGAGTTGTACATTGTTTTACTTTGACTACCTTTATACTATTAAATCTTTTCCTAAGCAAAATTAAATTTTTTGTCCTTTTTTGAAAATTATTCCTGTCCTGTACAAGTTTTGGTAACATTTACCACTTTTGATAACAGACGATCAATGTACGACTTTCAATATTATGTTGTTGCAGGTGCACTCCTTCTCCTTGGGGAAAACTTTACGATATGCAGCAGAGTACGGCCTTATAGGAAGTCAGGTAATAATATTTTGTATTTTGAGCTTAAAAATTCTATTACTTCTACTTTTTTTTGCTGCATTGCAAGCAAGTTAAAAACATGTAATCAGCTCTCTTTATCCACTAAAAACAATACTTGGTATGTTAATTTCATGTCAATTTTACAGATTTTGTTGACTTTCCTCTACTAACATACACTTATACTCATTATACTTATGTAATCCTATTAACTTAGTTTGTCTGATGTGGGTGTGTAGAAATGTTAAGGAAGATTATTGTTTTATTGAATAAGCTACACATACTTGCAGACCTGTTAGTTGTTTTAATACACTGTCGGGTAACAGTATACGTATATGATATGTACGAATCATGATGTACACAAAAAGATTATTTTAGAGAGATGTATATATGTGTTTGGAACGTTGTGGAGGTCTTAGATCTGTTTTTCGTATCCTTATGCAATTATATTCATTATAGAGTTAGTAATGATCACGGCGTGGTCCAATATTGGCACTGGATCAGAACAAATATGTTTGTAGCATGTGTATTACTGGAATAGATTTATGCTCAATGAGGTAATAGTGACAGTACAGATGTCAAATGTTTGAGGCAATCCACCCTTTGTCAAGAAAAACATCAGTGATATCAGAAACATCACATACATGTAATATATGAAAGAAAGTTACATATATGTATGAATAGTATGGACATACCTGGTATTTTGGTTTGGTTCCTTATTTAGCCAGCATAGTTTGGAAATCATGGTTGTTAATGATTTTATACGACATCTATTAAGACATCAGGATTAAAGCCTGTCATTAGAAATATGACTAATAAGAAGGCAAATAGGGCTATTAGGAGACAAACAGGGCTGCAAGGAGGCAAATAGGGCTACTAGGAGACCAACAGGGGCTGCAAGAAGGGAAATAGGGCTACTAGGATGCAAATAGGGGCTACTAAGAGGCAAACAGGGCTGCAAGGAGACCAATAGGGCTATTAGGAGGCAAATAGGGGCACTAGGAGACAAATAGGGCTACTAGGAGGCAAACAGGGCTACAAGGCGGCAAATAGGGGCTGCTAAGAGGCAAATAAGGCTACTAGGAGACAAACAAGGCTGTAAGGAGACAAACAGAGCTGTAAGGAGGCAAATAGGGGTACTAGGAGACATATAGAGCTACTAAGATGCAAATAGGGCTATTAGAAGGCAAATAAGGGTTGCTAGGAGACAAATAGGACTGCAAGGAGGCAAAAAGGGCCACTAGGGGAGAAATAGGGCTGCTAGGAGGCTTTTAAGGCTACTAGGAGCAAATAGGGCTGCTAGGATGCTAATAGGAATGCTTATAGAGACCTTAAATAACGATGGGATCTGGGGCAGCCATAGTATCTGATATAATTATCTAACTTACAACTACATAAATGGTTACTGGTGAATTCCTACTGTTGTTTTCTCCTGCTAACTTAATAATAGCTTGGTATATAGACCACAAGGCCTGAGGCAGGATGAGGCTACAGATGGCATCTAAATCAGTTCTGCTATATGTCAAATGTATGTCTGGTACATAGGTTACCCCTCACTAGCAGTTTTCTGCCCTGTCTGGAGATGCTCCAACAGGAAACAGTAGAGGGTATTTGTGGTATAGGGAACTCCTATACCTGACTCACACATATTGATTATCACAATGCTCACACCTGAATCTCCAACAGCTGTAGTCAGAGTAACTTAATCTCTAAGTGGAAAATCTTACTACAAAATCAATACATCAAACTAACTCTTTCATGCAAAGGTGATTGTTTAAATGTAATTTCCTTTTCTCTGGTATTGAACTTGTTGACTGATAATGCCTGTTACTCTCACGACAAGATAATTTGTCTTACAAATACTGCAAACAAAATTGCTCCAATCACTCTTTGATCCTTGTGTAAGTGTACTGGTTTTAAAATTTGAAGTAAGTGTTTACATATAAAAATCCAGTTTTAAAGATAACCATCCTCCTGCGATCTATATAGAATAGACTTGTGTGAGTCGTTTGTTCATTAATGATCGATCATCAATCTACCAACATCCTATCTGTTTATTTCTGTTAATAGATAATCCCGTGATATATCAGCTGTCAGATCTAGATGGTTTAGGGAGGCACAGGTTGTAAACTACCTGTATCTGGTTTTGAGATGGTTAAGGGACTTTCAGATCATAATTGAAAGTGAGTGGTCATAAAAAAAGAGATATGAGATTGTTTTGGGTCAAAACTGGTCATAAGTTACCTGATATGAGATGGTTTTGGGACAAACTGGTCGCAAGTTACCTGATATGAGATGGTTTGGGGACACACTGGTCGTATGTTACCCGATATGAGATTTTTTGGTACACATTGGTCATAAGTTACTGGATATGAGATGTTTTAGGAACTTCCACATTGTAAGTGACCTGATATATGAGGGTCTAGAGACTCACAGGTTGTAAGTTAATTGCCTGGTATGAGATGGTTTAGAAACTCATTAGTTGTCCGTTACCTGATATGAGACGGTTTTATAGGGACTCACAGACTGTAAGTTACCCAATATGTGATGGTTTAGGAACTTACTTCATGTAAGTGCCCTGATATTGTGATGGTTTAGGGAATCACAAATTGTAAACTACCTGGTATGAGAAGTTTTGGGTGATTGTAGGTGGTAAGTTCTTTACCTGGTGTGATTTTGTGCTCTGACTCACAAGAGAACAGCTGCTTGTGATGTTAATGAGGAAGCCATCAGACAGACAGCAACACAAGTGTAAGGTCCAGAACTATTCACATGAAAGGGAAATCTTCTTTGTTTTGTTTGTTTATGAGTTTTCTGTAGATAAACGGGAGAGCCTACTAAGTACCAACCTTGTATACATTTACTGCAGTACTATTCTGGCTTTAACTGTTCCATCACTACAGCATGCTATACTGTGTGTCCCAAGCTACTGATGTACACCAACAAATATCTTCTGACTTTGAACAGAACCACCCCCTTGTCTGTAGGTGAATCGACAATGCTGGTGTTCATTCACACATGAGGAGGCCAAATGTTAAAAGAACTTACTGCTAATAAATGTACCTTGTAACCCTATAGTGCTTACTTGCAATATTACACATGTTTTTATCATATCCTCATGATAAAGCATTATTCTGCATTTTCATTTAAGATACCTTATAGTCACGATAAATCTCAGTGGCTGCTTTAGTGAATCACTTTCAAGTTTGTTCATATAAATGGCCTTGATATATTGTCAAGGTCACTGGAGGACAACTGTTATAAAATGCTCAAATGACATGTTCTAAGTAACTGAAGGATCTAGACTGATGATAGTTTGATGACAGATTCCTGGGATAAAGCCTGAAAAAATTTGTGAGGATAAAGGACATTATACCATATTCCAATGAACAAAGAGTCAAATTTAAAAGGATTTCTCTACATTAACCAAAAGAATGAATCATGATGTTTAACTTATTTATATAGAAGTGATAGAGTCCAATTTTTAGTATTTATTATTATGAAGTTAATGTGTTTGTAAAAATCATTGAATATCAGACAAATGATGCAGACCTGTTGGACCTCTTGTTTTTTATAACAATACATATTGCAAATGAAATCTCATTTTAAAGAAAAATTCATCAGTCAAGATCAAACAGACCTCTCTATCAGAGTAGCAAGTCTAAAATGACTGTCAAATGTGACATATACATACTATGTGTTTTTGTTTATTTGTTTTTTTTAATTCTCAAATTTCCTGTGTGGAGTTTTTATGGCAATGATCATGCTAATGAAAATTCCAATTAAATGCTCACCATATTAGTATATTGATCAACAGGTTCAAGCAATCATCTTTCGTTGACTTAGTTACTGTCTATATCAAGTATTGATGTTTAAAGGCTTATATGATATACTTCTATAATAATTTTGGTAGATGTAACATTACTCTGGACAAAAAGCATTTTTCTAGACTTCAAGTAAATGACCACTGAAACATGCATAGATAGTAGATTATCCTGAGTAGGGGAAGCATACTTTTAGTAGTTTTACCTGTGGTGGGCTAATTAAGGTGATGGATCACCCTACCCTGCTACACCTGACAGTGATGAACTAGAGAAGATATAAAATGTCTGGTTAACAGCCAACTGTACTTATCTTTGCCTTCCCTAATAAAAACTCTAAAATTAGGATACCTCTATTTAACACCTCTTTTCTAAATTACATCCATCGCCTATCAGTGATCATATATGGATATCTAGTTTCTGTGCTTTGGTCACCAAAACTTGATTTCAACTCCACAATGTGCTTGTAGTAAGTCACAGCTGATCAAGAGACTTGTGACAGTATTGGGAAGTGGTGAATACAGTAATGGACTGGTCACCATCTGGTACTAGCCTTCACACAGTGGGAGGGTAGGTTCTATTGGGTTCCACCCAATCCACCTGTTAGACATTTTACATCTGACTAGGGGTTTATAAATAATGTATTGCTATGAATAAAACATGGTCAGCTCAGGTATAAACATACTGGCACAGCTAGTCCTGATATACCTGGTATGGAATAAACACTATTTCTTGATGGATGTATACTAAGTCAGTGTCTGGAATCATAGCTGGCCTTAAGTCTTTCGTACATATCTTTCACTAGTTTTGATAGCAGCTAGGAGATACATAAGCATTAATATTCTACCAGTAGGACTTCATAATTTTGTGAACACGAGGACACATTGCCATTAGTTTGATACACTGGGGTATAACAATGTCAATATTATTTGACAGTTTAAATTCAGAGTTTGTCTACCTGTAATCCACCTTTACTGACTTGATGTGTTATATCAATATAATTTACAACTAAGATTGTGGATTATAGATTGAAGTTTTTAGCCCATCAGATGGTTGGCTATTCAAATCTCCTTGAGTCTGTCTTCCATCCATCTTGTTATTACAATTTCTTGAGAAGTCTTGGATGGGTTTATTTATTTATATGTAGATTCCCTCTAGTCTCCAAATGTGCATTGTCCCATTTTTTCGGACTGATCAAAAAGCAACCATTGACGACGAATGACACTTGGATTTTTACAGTCATAGATTATTTTCTCTATTTCATGAGAAGTAGTTTATTGATATAGCTCTGATTTTATATGTAAGTTTCCCTATGTCACTAGTTGTGCATTATCCCATTTAGAAATTGATCTAAAAAAACAACATGCCCAACAGGTGGCCATCATGGATTTTAATAATAATAAGACTTGTTATCACTATTTCTATAAACTGAAGTTGTGCATTTTCCTGTTTTTTGGACAGATCTGAAAAGGACATGGAAGACAGATGACCTTAGATTTTGACAGCAGTAGTATCACTAGTTCTGAAAAAATACTCAATGGATCATTCTCACATTTTATATATAGAATTTCCTTTGGTGCCTAGTTGTGCCATTTTAATTTTTGGAATGATTATGATCTGAAAATAAATTGGCTGACAGGTGGTCATCTTGAAATTTGACTATAAATGTTTGTTAAAGCTATTTTTCGGAATTATGAAATGGATATGTCTCTTTCAAAACAAAACGGCCAACAGGTAGCCATCTTGGATGTCAACATTGAATGTTTGTTATTGCTATTTCTTGAAAAATACAATATGGACCTGTCTCAAGTTTTATATAGAGGTTAATTTCCTTGGGTCCCTGAATTGTGCCCTTGTGATTATGGATTGGCAGAAAACAAAATACTGACGGGCCCATCTTTTAAGAAGAAATCTCAAATTTCATATAATTATGAGCAAAAAAGGGAAAGACCCAACTTTGATTTTTTTACTTGCATATTTAGTACAAGACATATTCATGATAGCAGAAAAAATACCTGCCATTGCATTTAAGTGTCCTCATTTATTGTGAATTAAACCAAAAATCATCTGCTTAAATATATAAATATATATATATATATCAACACTACATTGTAAGAATTAATAGACTGATCAATTTCAGTTACCAATGTGCCTCCAGACTGCACTGCATATGTCTTATAATTCATTTAAATTCAAAATTAAAGGATTTATAATCTGTTCGTCATCTAGTACAAGGTATAGCCAGCCATAATCATAGGAAATGCCAATAAAATGTGAATACTCTCTTAGATTTTAAAGCAACAATTTCAGTCAAGTTTATTGCATTAAGATCAGAATAATAAACAACAAATATTATACAATGTACTATGTTTAGTTATTATCTATTGTACTATGTATAGTTATTATACAATGTATTATGTATAGTTATTATACAATGTATTATGTATAGTTATTATACAATGTACTATGTAGAGTTATTATCCAATGTACTATGTTTAGTTATTATACAATGTACTATGGTTAGTTATTATCCAATGTACTATGTAGAGTTATTATACAATGTACTATGTAGAGTTATTATACAATGTACTATGTAGAGTTATTATACAATGTACTATGTTAAGTTATTATACAATGTACTATGTTAAGTTATTATACAATGTACTATGTTAAGTTATTATACAATGTACTATGTTATTATACAATGTACTATGTATAGTTATTATACAATGTACTATGTTTAGTTATTATACAATGTACTATGTTAAGTTATCATACAATGCACTATGTATAGTTATTATGCAATGTACTATGTTAAGTTATTATACAATGTACTATGTTATTATACAATGTACTATGTATAGTTATTATACATGTATAGTTATTTACAATGTACTATGTTAAGTTATCATACAATGTATTATGTATAGTTATTATACAATGTACTATGTTAAGTTATCATACAATGTACTATGTATAGTTATTATACAATGTACTATGTTAAGTTATCATACAATGTACTATGTATAGTTATTATACAATGCTTTATGTATTGTTAATATGCTCTTAATATGTCTTGAAAAGTGTTGGCATCAAACTCTTTGTGATGCAGGGGGAAAAATGTCAAAGTTATTACATAGATGGGAGAGAAAAGTTGTGTACAATGTTGTAGGAATTCCTGATCAGTGATCATTATGTACATGTATTCTGTTTACGAAAGTTTTTTTGTCAGCGATTTCCTGATCAATTGTTTGTGGGTCTAGTACATTGTTCTCTAACGAGATTTTTTGTTTTTCGCAGCCCGCCAGGGTTAGCAGTAACCTACAAGCAGTTCTGAATTCCATGTGTGAAGGAACACCTTCACTAAGGCCCAGCATGATTCAACTGCTAGAGGTAAATATAACTTCAAACCCATCTATTTCAAACAAACCAAATGCAATACACGGAAAGGAAAAGTGAGAGAAAAGCCTTAATCTTCCCTATTTGCAAACATCAGAAGATAACGTTGATAAAAGAAGATAAAGGTTGGAGTTTATGTAGGAGTCAGGTTTATAGTAGCAAGGTAATCAGTGCCACTATTTCTGTCTACTTTGCCCTATCAGACACTGTACTAATGTTCCTGGATAACCAAGCAGGTTTCCTAACTTTTCTCATGAGTTAAGCTTCCAAGTATATATTATACACAGTGATGTTTAAGCTACAGATAAATGTCTGTAAAACCATTTTGAAATAAACAATGATCTGATTTCTGAATGTCTGTAGAATCATTACGGACTATCCAATTTAAATTTGTAATCTAAAACAATGGAAGATCATGTTGTTGTTTAGAATTACCAAGGAGAATGTTTGTTATAACTGGAATTGACATAGCATTTGGATTCCATGGTTTTACTGTAGGTTTACATGTTTCAGCTAGGTAGCCTATTGGTCATCAAAACCAAACTAGAATGTGTGAAAATGACATTCCACTCTTTAGTATCTGTATTGTTGAATGGTATTTTACTACATTATGTGTAAATTTGTTTTTAAAGGCATGTGATATGTATGCAGAAAAGTATTCCGTACAGAGGTCACATAGCCATTGTGTAAGAGGCCTGTACCAAACTATACTGGGCAGTGGCAGCGAGGTAATTCTTTTATACAATCAATTTTTGCAGACACACAGAAACTTAAATATTTCACAGTTCTCAGAAAATTGTCATTTGTGATGTCATTGAACATATCTGATATTGAGAAACCTTCCCTTCCTGATATTGAGAAACCTGTCCTATCTGACATTGAGAAACCTGTCCTTCCTGATATTGAGAAACCTGTCCTATCTGACATTGAGAAACCTGTCCTATCTGACATTGAGAAACCTGTCCTTCCTGACCTGTCTTATCTGATATTGAGAAACCTGTCCTATCTGACATTGAGAAACCTGTCCTTCCTGACCTGTCTTATCTGATATTGAGAAACCTGTCCTATCTGACATTTAGAAACCTGTCCTATCTGACATTGAGAAACCTGTCCTTCCTGATATTGAGAAACCTGTCCTTCCTGATATTCAGAAACCTGTCCTATCTGACATTGAGAAACCTGTCCTTCCTGATATTCAGAAACCTGTCCTTCCTGATATTGAGAAACCTGTCCTATCTGACATTGAGAAACCTGTCCTATCTGACATTGAGAAACCTGTCCTTCCTGACCTGCCCTATCTGATATTGAGAAACCTGTCCTATCTGACATTGAGAAACCTGTCCTTCCTGACCTGCCCTATCTGATATTGAGAAACCTGTCCTATCTGACATTGAGAAACCTGTCCTATCTGATATTGAGAAACCTGTCCTTCCTGATATTGAGAAACCTGTCCTTCCTGATATTGAGAAACCTGTCCTATCTGACATTTAGAAACCTGTCCTATCTGATATTGAGAAACCTGTCCTTCCTGATATTGAGAAACCTGTCCAATCTGACATTTAGAAACCTGTCCTTCCTGATATTGAGAAACCTGTCCTTCCTGATATTGAGAAACCTGTCCTATCTGACATTTAGAAACCTGTCCTATCTGACATTGAGAAACCTGTCCTATCTGACATTGAGAAACCTGTCCTATCTGATATTGAGAAACCTGTCCTATCTGATATTGAGAAACCTGTCCTATCTGACATTGAGAAACCTGTCCTTCCTGATATTTCCTTCCTGATATTGAGAAACCTGTCCTTCCTGATATTGAGAAACCTGTCCTATCTGACATTGAGAAACCTGTCCTATCTGACATTGAGAAACCTGTCCTTTCTGACATTGAGAAACCTGTCCTTTCTGACATTGAGAAACCTGTCCTATCTGACATTGAGAAACCTGTCCTATCTGATATTGAGAAACCTGTCCTTTCTGATTCTGAAGAAACTGCCCTTTCTAATATTGAGAAGTCTGTCGAATTTTACATTCTCTACAAAAGATATCTAAAGTAGTTCTTATGGAAAGAAAGTCTGTTGATTACGACATCTTTGTACTTGTTCTGTAGGAGGAAACTGTGTCACAAACCCAGAACAATAGCCGCCAGACTAGCTCTTTCCTGAGGGAAAATAGAGCAAACCGGTCACGAGGGAAATACAAATATTCCCATAGGAGGGAGCAGCAGAAGTCAAGGTCACGATCAAGATCACGGTCAAGGTCAAGGCATCGGAGTGGAAATGAAGGTAAGCTTTTTAATCTGATAAGATGTTTGTATATGCACCAACTTCTTTCTTTACCAACCGCAAGTTACCTAAAAAATTGTGTAACAGAAAGTTAAATCATCTTTTATGACACTTGAATTGTGATTCATCTAGACTACATTTGGGAAATTTATTTCATAGGAGAGGAACTTTGCTCTGTCTTGATTCAGTGTCTTTGTCCTACCATAGAGTTGATAAAACTTATCACCGAAGACAAGGATGAAATGCTTTGGAATTCTTTGCATTTCAGACTTTTAAAATCACTTACTTTTATATATTAAAAATAGAAATTATTACATAGTTTACTACCACTCTAGTTACTATATAAATTTATTAAGTAAGTTGTCAGTTATGGTATTACCTGAATAAGTTGACATTTCAGGGTGCCAAGACCAAAGGCAATATCTGTATTGATAGAATATGATAAAAGAACAGCCTTAGACAGTTCAGAGGACACTTTCCTATTTTATCAGAATCATAGCTTTTGTAACTTGAAAGGTCTGAAATTTGAATTACATGCTTTGTAAATTCTCTTTAATTTGCATAATATATAAAGATGATGACTCTTTCTGTACAGAAACTGATTCAGGATACCAACCATCATCCAAAAACAGTCATGGAGGGGTTGTCAATGGTGTCCACATACAAGATACAGAAAATATGTACGCTGGTCCAGGACAGACTGCGCCACCACCTTACAAACTCAGTAGTCGGTCTGATCTCAAGCTTGATTTGACAGATTCCTCACAGACGGGTCAGTCCTATCATTTGTCAGATATAACATTCTCATCCTCACAAAACAATGGATCTGTGTCACCTGGGGTAACAAGTGGACAGAGAACTGGCCATCCACTGAGTCCAAGGGGCAGACATCTGACAGCATCCCATATGGGAAACACAGCTTATGAAAAATACTTGAGGATAAAGGAGCGTCAGAAAAAACTGAAAGTGTTACGGAGAGGATTATTGGGGGAGGGGAGTGATGAAGATTCACCAATCACCTTGTCTGAGCGTGCTGATCATCTGGCTGACACAAGGTCAATCAGCTCAGCTGTCTCCTATAACCAAGGTAAGCCACGCTAGAACCATGTCATTGTGCATGTTCTTCAGTATCTATTAGAATACTAGGCACTGAGATGCTAGGTGCTGTAGAAATGAAAGGAATGTCTCTTAACTTTAGAACTTATATTAACTTCTGTGTAGATTTCTTTGTCAAGTCTGTACTAAATCTGAATTTTAGATTAGAATAGACGTTAAGTTACATGTATTTTGTATGTATGTTGTCAAATATAAAGCTTAGATAGACCTAGTATGGTGATAAAACACTACACAATAAGTATCTGTTACTGTAAATAAGTACTGTCCAAACAGTTATGAACACTTTACTGTTTGCAAGTGTTGCACAGATGATATTAATAATTAAATGCAATTAGTACATTGGAAATATACACACTTTATAGTAGGTCTAAGGTATTGTACAGTAAATATATGTGTTGTCCTTAACATGAGAGTGGTATACAGTAATCATATAAGTAATCTAAATATGTGTGTTGTAAACACTATACAGTACATTTTATATATATATACAGCACTACCAATTCAGTGATGATATTCAATATGAATGTTGCATTCTTTACAGTCTCAATACAAGATGTACACAAGTGCTGTACATTAAATGTGAACATCATACAGTAAATTTCAGAGCTATATACCTACAATAAATACAACAAAAATGTTTGTCCTCTGCATGTTAGAAGTAGATTTGAGGATTGATATTACTTGATAGTGATGGATTGCAAAACTATATATGTTAGCATGGAATCCCTGTGTTACAGAGGCTGGACGGAATAACACAGGTAACTCCTCTAACTGCTTTTTTGCATGCTGCATGACACACCTTGGTCATAAGTGTATGATCTACCAACACAGTCATTGAAAACATACACACAATCACAGGATTTTGTTTATTATAACCATGTATAAATATTACTGTTCTGGCTAGATGTGGTGCCAACTTCTGACTCAATGACCGTGATGTTCCAACAACAAAGTAATTATGAATTGCTGTGATATTCTGTGTAATAAGTTTTTAAATGATTTGTAACACTGCCAATTGCTGCATTGAAATTTGGAAATTGTATGTATAGCTGCTTGTTCTGGTATTCTGTTAGGTGTTGTGCTTGGCTGTGCATGCATATTTTTTCACCATTGCGTCACCTAACATCTCCTGTTAAACCTAGCTTTCTGTCTGGTTCCCAAACCCTTGTGTCCCCCCTCCCACAATATTTAATGTTTTGTCTATATTTAACAATCAGTATCCCATGTCCATATCAGGTGTGCTGTCTCTCCCTATAAACCTAACTTTCATGTCCTCCTCCTGTCATTTCTTTTGGTGTGTGTGAGTAGGGTTACTGTTACCTATGTCTGTTGCCCTTTGTAGATCTTTTTCATCTCTTGAGAACCCTTCAACAGATTTGCAGTTGCTTCATATTGATATTTAGCCTGTAATAACATATCATTTGTAAGATTTACACCAAGTCAAATTAAGATGTTCATTGATCAAGGTTAAAGGGTCAAAAGTCACATTTGACAATTTTTATGCAAATTTATTTCCATGGTAGATGGGTAGGGGGTGGGGAATGATCCTTGTTTGATATTTTTTAGTTTTCCTGATATATTCCTGTAGAGTCTTTCACATAGTTGGTGTCCTGCTTTCTGTAACTTAATTTTCTTTCCCGGTGTGTAATGCTTTCTACTTATATGTGTATCCAGATCATCCAATCCCTCCTCTCCGTTAATGGTATCCTCTTCACAAACCCAATGTCTATTCGTATAGTTGCTATGTATCCTATCTCCATACCTAGTGTCCCTACCTAGGGTCCCTACCGTATACCTATAGTCCTTTCCTTTCTACGTGTTCCATACATAGTATCCCATGTTGTTTCAATGTCCGTGGTACCTTTTCCCTATACTTAATGTCCTTACGTCATGCCTAATTGCTATCTTCTAAAATCTCCACATACCAGTTAGAAGTTGAGGCCCAGTCTGTACCTAAATACCTGAGACCCTGCCATAAACTAATCCACTCTGGGCACATCTTCATGCATGTTGGAAACCTGTCAGTTTCAGGATTGGCTTCATTTGGAAGATCTCTTCAATCTGAAATTCTATCATTTTTCAGTATTATCATCAGATAAGAAAATCTATATCTACAGCTGGATTGAAATGACATTTCCACAAATTTTTCTTCTTTTAATTGACAATTTTGGCTTAAGTCAGCCCATTGCAGTAAATAGGTTCACACATTCTCCAGGGTTGTAGTAGAATCTCATGATTAGTATACAGATGTATATATAAACTGTTTCCTGTGTTCTTTTTATATACATATATACCAAGTATGGATTACATACACATAGATGGATGAATTGTGTTACCTTTTACCAATTACTTGTCTTAGTGACCACTATAAGTACATTTCCACCTCCAATGTGTATTAGTTACAACACCTGCCCATGTATTTGTATGTCCTATACATTCCTACGTTATTCTGTAAAATGGAAATTGCTTTTGAACGAAATTTCTTGGGGTCCTCACATGGAACAAGTACCATTAGGCCTACATGTTACTTACAGTGACATGTATTGTACAAGTGCACATGTGTACATGTGATGGCTTCTCCACCATGTTATACGAAAACCCCTACATGTGTAGTTACTACAAATACCCACTAAATACCGTATACGACAGCATAATCACTTACTACTGAAATAATGATAGAATTCTATCAAGATGACTTATTGCAAACAATTTAATCTGTCTGTTGTAAATGTCAAATCCTTGTAAACATATTGACTTGGATAGATATAGAATGGGCCATTGTGACCATACCAGTAATACCTAATGTCATTAAGTTATGTCATTAAAGTATTTCTGTGGAGGATTAATAAAATGGGTGGTAAAGTAATTATGTTTCTATTAACACTTTTCATTTAAAGTTATTTATCGTTTTGGAATTTTAGTATCATCGTCTTAGAATTCACATCAGTTTCAAATTAGCATTCTCAATTAACTCGGCCTTCTTGGCGAAGTGGTAGTTTTATTGGACATTGATTTTAAAAATCATGTAACAGTATAATTTAATTTTACACACATTGTAAAACTACTAGTGAACAGGTTTTCTTGTGTTATTGCTTCTTTTCATGTGATATATCTGATGTGAAACAGTGACATTGTAGATTACTTGCTTACTGTACAAAAAAAGACCTACAACAATATAAATATTTACAGGTAGCTACTTACCAGGGATACACATGCAGTATGGGTCAGAGATGGCCCTGAGAGTGGGACGAGACTCTGACAGGGAGAGCATTGTCAGCAGTGAGTTCTCATCCTACCAACAGGAATACCCATTAAGGTATATATCATATGGAAATCAGTGATATTTAGTTAGATCATTCTAACTAATACATATTGAGTTCTATTGAGTTAGTCAGTTAGATCATTCTTTGTTCTGTACTGTATATTAATTTATTGAGTTTGTCAGATCACTCTTTGTTCTGTACTTTATATTGAGTTCTATTTGATTTGCCAGTAGATCATTATTTGTTCTGTACTGTGCATTGAGTTCTATTGAGTTAGTCAGATCATTCTTTGTTCTGTACTGTACATTGAGTTCTATTGAGTTAGTCAGATCATTCTTTGTTATGTACTGTATATTGAGTTCTATTGAGTTAGTCAGTTAGATCATTATTTGTTCTGTACTGTACATTGAGTTCTATTGAGTTAGTCAGATCATTCTTTGTTCTGTACTGTACATTGAGTTCTATTGAGTTAGTCAGATCATTATTTGTTCTGTACTGTAGATTGAGTTCTATTGAGTTAGTCAGATCATTCTTTGTTCTGTACTGTATATTGAGTTCTATTGAGTTAATCAGATCATTCTTTGTTCTGTACTGTATATTGAGTTCTATTTAGTTAGTCAGTCGGATCATTATTTTTTCTGTACTTTATATTAATCTATTGAGTTTGTCAGATCATTCTTTGTTCTGTACTGTATATTGAGTTCTATTGAGTTAGTCAGATCATTCTTTGTTCTGTACTGTATATTGAGTTCTATTGAGTTAGTCAGATCATTCTTTGTTCTGTACTGTATATTGAGTTCTATTGAGTTAGTCAGTTAGATCATTCTTTGTTCTGTACTGTATATTGAGTTCTATTGAGTTAGTCAGATCATTCTTTGTTCTGTACTGTATATTGAGTTCTATTGAATTAGTTCGATCATAATTTGATCTGTACTTTACATTAATCTGCTGAGTCAGATCATTCTTTGTTCTGTACTTTATATTGAGTTCTATTTGATTTGCCAGTAGATCATTATTTGTTCTGTACTGCGTATTAAGTTCCATTCAGTTGGAATGAGTTTGTCACTTAAATCTTTCTTTGTTTTCTTCTGTATATTGAGTCACATTGAGTTAGTATGTTGAATCATTATTTACATTACATGGAGATAATTCTACTTTCCATACTTTTAAATGGACCATTCTTTGTTCCAAATAGAGTATACCCAATGAGGTAATCAAAAAAGTGCAGAATAAATCTCCCACTTAATTGTATTTTGACATTTTGTATATTGTAAGTGTGTGATGCTCCAGTATATTGCTCACTTTTCTCTACTCCTGATCTCCAGGCAGTCACCAAATTCATTTCTGGCATCAGTCCCAAAAATGTTGTAATAATCTCAAAAATAGAAGTTGGGCTGTCAGCATTGTGTTTGTATAAACTGAAATTATCAGATGGAATTGAGCTACTATATCTGTCTGATACTGATGCTAAGACCTCTGAAGTCAGTTAAAGTTTGCTTTTAAATCTAATGTCAGATCAAGTCTTCAGATTTCCCTTTGGAGATTTTGTTGTCAATAACTTTCCTATCAGAACAGCTGAACTTTCAATCAAGCTGCCATTTGATCTCATAAAAGATCAGTTGTTGATGCCAAGGTTTTAAGATTTTATTAACGGTACAATCACCAATAGATAGTTATGATGACCCATACTTAGGTCAGTATACTGTTTATAGATCTCATGGTAATCCTGTTTAGTAAATGTCTAGAGTAGTGCTGCTACTCTTAGGCAGATCTAGACATCAGTTGAAGGCAAGTCCAACTTTGTCAAAACACCAGTTTGTTTTACAAAATTTAGTTGTAGAGAATTTGACACAGAAGTCTGGTCTTAAAATGAAAAGGGACACTATTTTCAACTGTATTTCAAGTGGAAAATATTAAGCCAGAGTTAGTTGAATTTGTAAGTCCTACTTCAAATAAATTTCCTTAGGATGGAGAAGTTTTAGCATGATAGATGTGTAAAGATAGTTTCCCGAGGGTCATAGTTCAAACATATCAGGATTAGATCTATATATAGTGTGGTCCCTTGCTGTGAAACACTTCATGTTAAATTCTTATATATATCATTGTCTACATTGACTACTGCCTAAATATTATATGAGATTTGGAAATTAAAAGTGCCATTAATTAAATGTATGGTTGGAGTAGCTGTAAGTGGTAAATATTTAATGTACATTACAGCAGTAGGTATATGTGGAGAACACAGGGTCATCATTGTGTGTCTATGTAGGGTGATATACCAGGGTAGACAGTGAGGATGTAATACTGTTTTATACCTGTGCTACCCCTCAAATTTGAGGGTGCCTTCCTTCTCACTCAGGCTCTTGAGATGTGTTTCTAGTTCACGATGAATATCTACCTAACAGGATATGTGGGAAGTAAGGCGACGTATCTGCCTCTACCGGCATGTGCATAAAAATAAGTGTGCAAGGAGGTATTACCATGCACTGTCTCTAATTGTGTGTTTATGTTGATACCTGATACCTACTGCATACCTGCTTGTCTAGGAGTATATAGGTTTATCTTGTCAGAAAGATAAGTGAATACACCAAAGTATTTGTTGTGAAGAGTAAACTGTTTCTATTTTATCAGATATTGGGAAGGACAGAATTAAAACATGTATAACCCTTGTGTCCTCACAGCTGTAGAAACTTATGTAGTCAGCACTTTCATGCTATAGAGATCATCAATGAAGGGTTGCTGATGCAGCTTATGCTGTATAAATATTGGTGTTAACATACTGTTTTTGCGGGAACAGGGTTAATAAAAATATCATTGTATGTGCCATCACTAGTAGTGTTATTACAGGACTTGTGACTGTGTCAGCTAGGCACCATGTCATGCAAAACTGTTTGTGGGTGTTTGACAATTTCTAGAAAATCAGACTGAAATTAAATTATTAAATTTCAGAAGCAAAAGGTGTTTTTGCAGCTGTATTGAAAAATGTTTTTACAAAAATCTAATGTAATATTGTTTCATTGATCAAAGAATATTGTATAGACATTTTGAAGAAGATTTTCGAAAGCAAGTGTACTTTGTTACACTGCAGTTCAGTACAAGTGAATTGGTGTCTTACAGTTGAAGCAATCATGAAGTCATTTATGTGGGAACATCAATTGAATACAGCTGTGGATGTAAATGTCTTGTCGGGACTTGGTCAGAAATAATGTCTGTTGCCATGAAGACTTTTGAAATCCTCCAGTACCTGTTAAATTGTTATCTCAGGTTCGATATCAGTGAAAGGCATTCTGGTGCCTCTTGGAATCATGTTTAAAGGGAAGGAAGCATAAAAGATATCACTTAAGCAGTAAATCTGATCTCATTAATGCTGGCACCAGACTGGGGTGATGTCATATATGTTCAGTGCTGCCAGTTAGATATAGAACATTGATTAGTAATGTGTACTCAGTGCAAATGTACTCATGCTTAAATTAACACATACACCAATAATTCCAATTAGCATCACACTTTCAAATGATTCAGGCTGATGAAGAAATCTAGAACCTGTACATCCATCAGTCAATTTCTTCTCGATGTGTTGTACTGTCAGTGTGTGTAGTTTTGTATGTGTATGTTGAGGGAGCTTGTGTTGGTCAGGGTTAAGGAACGGGGAACAAGTCACAACAACAATTAGGCCTTAGATAATTGACAATTATCTTTAGAAGGTTGTATGTATATGTTAACTCAGACCTATTATTGGGAGCATACTTCATGGAAACTTACTGTCTTCACTTGGTATTTACTTCAGACGAATTAAAGATGTTCCCTAGGATTTAATGATGATTTTGAATCTTGAATTTCGGCTCAGTAATTACAGTAAGCTCCTGTCATTAATAGGAGGTATGAAGTGAGGGCAGTACTCGGATGATCTAGGGCGGGACCTGATGTTAACTATACAGAGATTCTTCAGGCCATGAGTCACACTCAACATTCTGTAATGTTAGCCTGCCGCCACTGTTACATACTGTACTTATATTTAGCTGGCTCATGGTTCCACGACTATTTATCTAACATTTTAAAACCTGGAAAATGTCAGAATTATTTATTGCTGGCCCATTGTGGAAATTGCAGAGCTTTATTCCTTTCAAAGAAATAGTGGTGGTGTGAGCTTTCATCATTGTTTATAATCTCATATGCAGCAAGTATGTTTATACAAACATATATATGTAACAACTCTTGGGTGGATCAGATGTACAGCCAATATGTAGTGCACTGTAATAGAGTTAGAAAGATGATATTACCAGGCATTGGATTTCTTCCAAAAAGCAAAAAATGGCATCAGTATGAGATAAAGTGAATGATTTTTATTGCAGGATCCATCAGAATATTAATGACTAGAGTTGGATTTGTTTGTTGGATAGAAAATAATTCATGAACAACTGTCAGTCCTGAATTATATGTTCCTACAGTTATTCTGTAACAAATTGTTAGACAGAAAATCTGTGACCTCTATTACAGATCTACAGATCAAGGTCACCATTCACTGCCAGAGAGGGGTGTCAAGGCCAAGGTCAAAGTTCCTCACACCAACACATCAAGGAAACCAAGGGTCAGTCATATTGACTTTGTAACAAACAAATATAGAGAAGCTTTTGCATGGTTCCCAATGCAAATGTGAAGTATTAATTTTGTGTGATATACACGTCACCAGTTCCAGTTTTACTCAGAAAACTTTTAATGTCAAGGGCATCAGGTTAATATATGTTGCCATTTCTACAAATAGAATCACACACATATATACATTATTGTCCTAGCCATTCTGTGTCACTGTTACTATGAATATGTAATCACAAGTAAGTTCTGACTTTACCCAGTGTAATCTTCCTTCTTATTCTACCTAACTATATATGTCATCAGTTCCAGATCTTGATATATCTTGTACATCAAAGTTGACAGATCGAAAACTAAATTAATGTTGCCTTCAAACACTGCAGGAATAAAAAGACCCAATCTTTGCTTTAACCAATGTAACCAAGTTTGTTACAAAGCCTGACACAGAATTGTAAAATTAATAAAGTAAAACAATTTTACACAGAGATGTGGAAGGCGGGGTCATCTATGTTCCTTCCACATAGTATATATTGATAAATATAAATGTATAGTCTTGAAAGCTTAACTAAACAACCATTATTTTAGCAACTGTCACATTTGATCTGGACAGACACTGCGAGTTTTGTTTCAGTAGATAGAAAGCTACAGTTTTGATCATGCAATACTACAGGTGAACTCAAATTATCCTTAAATAGATTATGATAGTTGAATTTAAATATACTCAATGTTTACAGGAATATTATGGTCCAGAATTTGTTCATAAAGCCAGCAAAGCTATCATCAGAGTGCCAATTCCTTTGCAAGGGGAGGTAAGTCTTGAAAAATACTGTTATGTATTTAGATATCAGATGGATTTGCTGAATGTTATAATATTATATCTCACAAAGATATACACAGACAAAAATTAATGTTTTGATAGCTTGTCTAAACTAGATGATATTTCAATGTAAATATTTTTATATGAAAACTGAATTTTATTTATGTTTTAGTTGAACAAAATGACACATCTAGGTCACAGGTTAAATGTTATTCTACATCTGGTGTAATGTTTTACTTGCACGTTTTTGACTCTTCAGAGCCTGAAGAACCCATCCCATGCTAGGCGGGTGGTAGTAGTCCTTCTGACTGGTCAGAAGTTAGAGGCTATGTGTGACCCCAGTACCACCGGTCAGCAGTTGTTTGAGTCGGTCATCACACACATAGAACTACCTGAGTTCTTCTTCTTTGGTCTCACCTATGTCAGTGGTAAGGAGGAAAACATGATCAGCTAATATACAGAACATATATTAAGTTATTAAAAAGTGTATTTATAGCATTGACACTTGGTTAGAAATTAAGATACTGTCATTGATTCAGTTTAAACTCTCAAATCAACTGACTTGTGCCATCCCGTTGTTTTATGACATGATAGTATGTTGAACTAAATCTGCTTCTTGCAAAAGTTTGGTAGGTTTAAACATTACATTTTATACAATCATGTCACTGATACTTGTTTTGTTGTATAGATGGAGAGCACTTCTTTGTGGACCCAGAGATGAAGCTCCACAAAGTTGCACCAGAAGGCTGGAAAGAGGGATGGAAAGGCAACCTGCCGACAGTCACATTTACCTTATACCTGCGGGTCAAGTTCTACCCTGACAATATCCTCCTCTTCAGGTATGGTCATAGTTGACACAATACATGGTATTTAGTTTGATGAAATAACAAATTCTACAGATGAAAGCTCATAATGAACAAGTATAAATCATTATGTGTTTACATCCTTTCATTTTGAATGTCTTTCCACTGCTGTGCAAAATTTGATTAGAATTGTATGAAGAGGAACAATTATATTCCAGTTAACATGTTTTATTTAAAGTGTACAATGACTCTGTTTAACCTCTGAACTACATCCTGTACTTTATTAATTTCTATGATTTTCCCATCAGGCACCAGATCTCACGGCACTTGTTGTACTTACAACTTCGCCACGACCTGCTAGAGGAGCGAACCATATGTAATGAGGACAAGGCCCTTACAATGTCTGCACTGGCCCTTCAGGTGGAGTATGGGGACTACGACAAAGACACTATGGGACGAAACTACTTCATGGCAGAGCACTACTACCCACAAAGGATAGTGAAACGTGTAGGAGTAGGCTACATACGAGACAACACTCCAGACTTCCACCAGAGGGCAGCAGGCATGAGTGAAACCAAGGCTGAATTGGAATTCATTAAGGTAAAAATGCATGGTTGAAAAAAAAATGAATGAAAAATAAAAAAAACAAAAATCGAAATGGTATAAGATTTATCTTGACCAATATGATTTTAAGATTCTCACAGAATTATTTTGGTTTATATTTCATAAAGATATAGTATGGCTCATGAAACTCAATAAAATAATCAAATTATCCATCTTTAAATGTTCTGTTATGTAAGAAATTGACATTAAAACTATAATGAAAATCAAATATCTTACTTTCATCAAGATGATTTAACACTTTTTACAGATTGCCCAACAGTTACCAGAGTATGGAGTTCACTTTTACAAGCTGCTGAAGGTAGGCATAGCACAAAGTATTAATCTAGATAAGTGTGTGCAGTTCTGCATGATTGGGGTACAGGAAACAATTTTATTTCATTCATGAATTAATCATGTATCTTAAAGAAGAATTCTGACATTCTTCTTCATCCTATATTCAGTGATACGTTCAGAAAAACTTTGGGGTCATGACAATGGCAATATAGAAATCAACTCTTCTTTTTTTTTTTTTTTTAGATGTGTATGTCTTTGAAAAATAAAACATTATAGTACAGAAAATTGTCATATTATGAAATGATCTCGGAATCATGTAAGTGTGGTTTGTATTTTTGTTGTTGCTTTTCCTAGAATAAGAACGATACCACAAGTGTACTGTGGATGGGGATCACTGTTAAATGTATGGTGCTGGCAGAAAACCAGGGCCTACAGCGTGCCATCGACCACCATTATGCTTGGAACATGATCCAGAAAATATCATTCAACAAACGCCGCTTCAGCATCCAACCCAAACCAGATCATGGTCAGGGAAAGCCTTCAAAGATGAATTACTACACTAACAGCTACCGCAAGTAAGATTTTTGGTTTTACTTACAGCTCATATACTGCCATCACAATTTATTCTCTGAATGCAATTGATTTTGTTAGGTGCTTCAGTTTTTGCCATCATTTACTCTTTATTTCAGTTAGTGTGATGCTTGCAGATTTTTCTGATAAAATGATTATTTGAAATATTACTTCTTTCAAAAATTGGTATTTTATTGTACATTCAAGTTTACATTTTACTACATATTGATTTTGTTATTAATGATATTTGTTTCCAGGGGGCGATACTTGCTGCAGTTTTCCACCATGCAACATCGATTTCAGCTGAAGATGAAAGCTAGAGAGGCACAGTTGGATGCCCAAGGCATTGGTGAGAATCTGCTACGTCTCAGAATATCTAAATTTTGTGTATTTTTAACCTATTAGGGCCATGTATTGCGGATAGTAAGATGTAGGTAGCCACAAATACAACTCTGTAGATTCATACATTCTTCCCCAAAACATCATGATTTAGGTGCTGGGTTCTTTGTTTCAGTTGTCTGTCTAAAGGTAATCATCATGGCTTCTTTTCTGTATTTTGAACAGATCTGACTATGGACACTGATTCAAGTTTTGAGGCCCAGGCTGTAGACTTGGAAGAGGAAGGAAGTCCACAGGTACAAAGCTATTCCTAATACTTTGCAAACATAAACTCTTGAGCACTTAGCTTACATGAGTTCTTTAAAATTGTTATTTTACTATGAGTTAAATGTGTGTCATACCATATCATACATGACAGTAAGGTGATAAATAAGGTTTTAGTACTTAGTATTTATGTGCCATTTTCTTCATTGTACTTCTCTGATTACAATTGTAGACAAGTGCTTAAAGCTTGAAAATCCCAATAATGCATCAGGGGAGATAACTGTATATAGAGGAATATTTTGTTTAGGAAATAGAATTGCTTTTGTTGTCATATGCCTAACATCATTTGAGCTATTAGGATCAATAATATAGATTTTCCCCCTTTTGTTTTGTAAATTATTCATACTTGTGAATATTAGCATATACAGGTCCACTAGATTTTATCCACAAAATTATCAAAATTTGTTGACAATGCCGACAAATTACATAACATAACAGAAACATACTAGGTCACAGATCTATCATGAAACAAAATTACATCTTTCCAGGCAAGTTTTGAGAGTGAAGATGATGGACACAGTGCAACAGTTGCTATGACAACAGACCGACAACCAGTCCCATACTCTCTGTAAGTAGCAGGCATGCGTCAAAGATTTGGCATGAGTTTACAAGTATATGCATTTGTTAAGTACAAATAATTGAAAATTAGTTTTTATTCACTAGTTTGTGAAAACCCTAGATATACATAAGATATAGGTATTATGTTAAATGAATGTTGATATGTGGATGGATCAATACTGATTTACTTACTGCATACTATTAGTGCAATGATTTTCCCTTGCATCCCCAGCATGTATAAAAACTAATTATATTTCAGTAGGTTCAGAGATCATGGAAGGTTTGTACATTATGTAGGCTGCTGTGTTCTGAAGTATGATTGATGTCAGTATAACCGTGTCCTTTGTTTTACAATAACTATTCATTAATTTCATCTTTTTGTCTTATATTGTGCTCTCTTCTATAGAAATCTGTTGAACCAGTTACTTGAGAAATGCATTAAGTACCACAGCAGTACATTTATTATGCAGGGTTCCAACCTAGTTTTCTTTATAACTGTCCAAGTATTAGAAAACAAGATCTGATGAGTATGATTATAAGAATTATTCTTTTCAACTAAAGCGTGAAGAGCTTGCTTCAGGTGTCAGCTTGTGTAAAATGTTCAACCTTTTACAGGGAATCATGTTTTTGAAAGAAAATGTTGGATATATTGCAGTCCTATTTTGAATATTTGATCCTTTGGTCCATGTACCATTTCAAAAATAGAAGAAAAAGATCCTCATAATAAGGAAAGCTTGGATTTACCCTAGGGAATCTTTTGGTAAAAATACTTTTCTTGATGAAGGGAATCCTGCTTTGCTGACTGATTATTTTAATAATCCAAAGAAGTGTTGTCTATCAAGGGTTTATTCATGTGATACTTACATTTGTTTTTGTCATGATATAACTGTCTATTTGTTAAATAACAGTATTTTTGTTGGATATCTAAAACTAATCACGTTAACTAGCATGACATCTGATGGTATAACAGTTTTATTTTGATTATTTCTTTCAAAAGACATGATTACATGGTTTGTCTGTAATGCATGTTGACATAATTTTACTGGAATATGATAGATAAAATGTGAGCTGTTTGCTTTTGCATTTGGCATGAGAAAAATAATGTTTTCTCGTAAAGAGTTCTAAGAATGATATTTACTGAGTGATTTGAGCATGTGTTGTATGTATGGTTTAATTCTGTTGCATGTATTGTATAGCCCTCCGCCATACAGGGCAGAAACAAGTGTCAGCATGATGGACCTCCGCGAAAAGTATGCATTGCCCGTCCACAAACGACGAGGCCCTACGCATGCTGCATCTACAGGCGACATTCTTGAAGATATACAAAGAGAAGGGCCACATGAAGCTCATGTATTAGGTAAAAAAAATAGGCCACCACTACAGTTCTTCAACAGGTAGAGAAGTGACAGGAAACTTGTGTCTTGGTAAACTGGTAAAGAAACGAGAGGAAATTTGGGTACTAGATAAATAGGTAGAGAGAGCAAGGCTATAGGAAACTTATGTTCTAGATAAACAGGTGAAGAGACTGCAGAAAATTTGTGTACTAGATAAACAGGCAGAGAAGCTACAGAAAATTTGGGTACTAGATAAACAGACAGATAGAGCAAGGCTATAGGAAACTTATGTTACTGATAAACAGGTAAAGAGACTGCAGAAACTTTGTGTGCATTGTTAGCAGGTAGAGAGGCCAAAGAAAACTGTTGTTTCCAAGTTATAACTTCCTGATTAGTTCTAGTGAAGTTCATGTACTTGATGAATCTGAATTTAATTAACCTATGCTCTCTTATAAATATTCCAAATCATCAATAAGATAGTAATCAAAACATTCTTTTATTTACAGGAATGACCACACAGTCTGTGGACTTGGTGGACGAATCAGTGCTCAATGAAAGTATCAGTGGTAAGTTATATATTCACAATACAGCTACATTCAGCTCTCCATCAATCATCAGACATTTATATTGCCTGGAATAATGTATTGGAAGTGTTTTCCTTCATTACATGTATTTAAAATGTTTATTGAAATCAGCTTGACAAGAGAGTTGGAGCATGAATACCTCACTCATACAAAGGAATCTTCTTGAGCATTCAGTTATTATGTCCTCAACATTTAATCCTGTCCTTGTAGTTCTGATTTAAAGAGAGAAGTCGTTCTTGGTTATCAAATCCCTGTGTACTGTTTTACGTATGGTAAACTGTATGTGTAATATATTGTCAGGCTATGATAGGACTAGATTGTGCAGTTGTAAGGTTACTTTTGATCATAATGTTCACATTTACAGCCACACTACAACACCGCCTGTACAGCAGTGAGGTGTCCCCAGAACAACCTGACAGACGTATCTTTGAGGTTGGGCTGGGGAAGGACCCCAACACAGGATTTGGGATCACCATTGTCGGGGGAGAGAGTACCAGTAAACTAGACCTGGGCATATTTGTCAAGTCAGTAACTGCGGGAGGTCCTGCACAAAAGGACGGAAGAATCCGCCCAGGGGACAGAATCATTGCCATCAATGACCATAGCTTGGAGGGCCGTCAACACCACACTGCGGTACAGATGATCCGTGAATCAGGCTCTCACGTCAAGCTTCTTATCTCCCAGGTCAAGTGCCCTGGGTCTCTCCGCCGCAAAGATCATGATGATTCCATAATCCGAGAAAAACTCAGATTATCAAATGCTAATCCCCATGATGCTCAACTCTTTTCACAAATATCACATTATTCAGACGATTATCTTCAAGAAACAGAAGAGGAGGTTAATGAATCGCCTATTGAAGCAGCAGTTAATCCTAGAAATCATCGACATTGTTCTCAGTCGGACCAGTTAAATTTAGCTACAGTTTCTAACATTCCATTAAACTCTGATACGAGATGTAAATATAGAAATTCATATGTGACTGAAGTAGATGTGAACACCACATCTCAGGTGGACTCATTAGTGGCAGATCATCAAGAAGACAGTAACAAACACAGAAACAGTAGGTATCAACTAGGCAGACCAACATCGTTTGTCACTTAAAGATAATGTACCAAGTGTAATTGAATTGTGATAAAACAACAACAAATAATTTTCTATAAAAATAAAGTACTCTAGCAATGACAATACCTTGCATTTTCATCAAAGTAACTTTGTCCTATTATCAAATTTGTATGAATTAATTGCCTTTCAGATGCATACATTACAGTTGTTGCATTAGAAGTTACCTGGTTACTATTGTAAATCTGGTCACTGTTTTAGGTGAGATTGGGTCAAGACAAGACTCCAACCTTAGTGAAGCTAAGGTAACTGTGAAACCAAGTCAACCAAGTACACAAAATCAAGGGCAGTCAAGGACTACCAGTACGGCAAGGTCAGTAAAGATTTGTGAGAAAGTGTTGACTGATGATACAAGTATCACAAGGGTAAAACTATACAGTAGACGCAATGACAAAAATTCAGAGTGGTTTACAGTTGTGATAATGTCTGCATGAGGATGAAATGCATAACAATTTTTCACATATATAATATGTTATTGTGATTTCAGTGCGAAAAGTGATGATTTCCAGCCTGGTGAAGTGTTTGAAGTGTTTTTGGAGAAAAAGGATGGCAGCTTTGGACTTAACGTAACTGTAAGTAAAGACAATCAAAATAGAAAAATTCATTAACACCCAAGTAAGGGGGCCAAGCCACAGTTGTTATTTGTATGGCTAATTGTTTTAGAAAAGTGTACAGGACCTGTGTTTCAGGGAACACATTGTTACTTGTCAAGGTAACATATGTATGACTTGAACTTGAGGGAACACATTGTTACTTGTCAAGGTAACATATGTATGACTTGAGCTTGAGGGAACACATTGTTCCTGTCAAGGTAACATAGTGACTCGTTTTTCTGGGAACACATCATTACTTTTGAATTATGTGGGTTGTATTTCAGGGAATTTTTTGTTCACAGTGGAAAAAAGTACAGATATCTGTTGTGTTTCAGGGAGGTGTGAACACATCTGTAAGACAAGGAGGGATCTATGTGAAGTCACTGATACCTGGCAGTGCTGCAGAACTGGAGGGCTGTATCAAAAGAGGTACTTACCTGAATCCATTACAGATTGGGATATACAAGGCTGATATTTAGAGATTGTTTCTAGATATTAAGAAGTAAAGTGTGGAAGATGTATGCGGACTTGGATGACCTCTAAAATTAATTGATTTTGTCTTCTTATTGAATTGATTGTTGTTCTGGAAATAAGTCGAGGCTTTGTTATAAATAGAAGTTTACCATGATCATGTTCCTGGTTATGGTGTATTCCTGTATTCTGTATTTGACAGTTTGATTATTTTTTGTGTAAAACATTTGTATGATAGTTGTAAACCATTGCCATGTGTCTGGATGCAGGTGATCGGATCCTGTCAGTTGACAGCAAGAGTCTCGTGGGAATGACTCACAAACAGGCAGTAGAAGCATTGTGTAATGCTCCTCCCATCAGCAAGTTGGTCATGGAAAGAGGTCAGCCCCCCACAGCTGGGGGAGTGTCTAAGTCTAATAGGTCATCACCAGCACCACTACAAACCAGCAACTCAAACAAGGGCAGTCGAGCAAAGTCAGTGCCTGCAGACACAATGCAGTCATCAACAACTCCCTTAGACAGTGGTGGTAGCAAGAAGAGAAATAGCAGCAGATCAAACTCCTCATCTCAACCTGTGGCAGCTGGTAATGTCAGAGGTCAGGCAAGGAAAGGAAGCAGTTCAAGGTCATCACCCCTAGTAACAGAAAATAGTGGGGTAAACATGCCGAGGAAGAGCAGTAGTTCAAGATCTTTGCCTGGACCAGTATCAGACACTGTGGTAACACCTGGGGTCAGAACTGGCAAGAAATCTATGAACCTTACTATCAGTGAAGTGAGACCATCACACACTTCACCGACCAGCTATAACTCTGATGCAAAGGCAGCAAACAACATACAGGACAACGAGGAATCACAGTACTACAACTTTGATAATGCAGGTATGGAATAATTCTTTGTACTTATTGAAGTTTTTTCTTACAAAGATGGAAATTTCTGCTGTCATCTTTGGCTTCATATACACACTAGTTGCTTTCACTTCAATTTTGTTTTTGTAGTCACAAAGATGAAAATGGTATTATTACAAGTACATACTTTTGATATATCCATCAGTTCTTTTTTGTCTAAGGATAAATTCTTTCCATCTTTTTCTAATGAAGGTCATGTCTGTTTGTAGAGGACCAGTTTACTGTTGATCTGGAGCGAGGTAGTAGTGGACTGGGTTTCAGTGTACAGAATGCTCGAGACCTTTACCCTGCACCCAATGCCTCGGACAACTACCTGTGTATCAAGAAAGTGTTTCCTATAGGTCCTGCTGCTGAAAGTGGAAGGATCAAGACAGGAGATGTGATCCTGGAAGTGAATGGACAACCAGTGAAAGGCCTTAGCCTGCCTGTAAGTGTGCATCATGATTAAGTAGATGTCCTGAGGTGACGCATTCCTCATTTCTGGTGCTTGGTCATCTGTTATCTCAGCAAGTGTCTTCAAACATCTGAAATCATATTGAAATGAATTATTGGGGAACTAAGGGATTTAACATGTCAAATGGTAGCTGTGTTCAAATATAGAAATGTAAATATTTTAGTGTCTTAGTTTTTTTGTTGTTTTTTTTTTTTTTTTTGTGTGTTTGTGGTGATCACCAGAAATAGTAATAACCATTAGCCTGTTTATCCCTATATATATATATATATATATGGTACCACAACATATCTTCTTATTACAAATGCTCTGTAAATATCCTCCAGTATAAACTTTACTGATTTTAAGTACCTTCATTTATCCAGTTATTAAAGTAATTCTTTCAATATAGAATTCTCGGGAAATTTAAAGGAAATCAATTTGACCTAGTTTTGTATGATGTGACTAATTTTTCCACTCACACATAGCATGTGGACATAGTATGTTGCACATTTCAGATACTGTAACAGTTTTATGTAACAGATTGTTCTACCTGCATGGTCCTGATTTTAAAATTCAAGGTTATGGTTATGTTTTTCACTTTTTGGAATGGCATTTGATTGTTGAAATTAACCATGTGTGTTTTGAATGGGGTTGGCACTTTGAAAAAAAATACAGCTGTAAAGTTGTATGTAATATTGTGATGTTGCAATTAAGGCAAGAAACATAGAGTACAAGTGGCGTGGTGATTACTTTGCAGGAGACTTTAGCAACACTGCGGGCTGCCGCAGCACATGTCACTCTGTTGATGTGTCGGCCTAACCAGCGGCCCCCTGGGGCAGTAGTAAGTACGACCTCAGTCAGGTTTGCTGTGACTAGTTGATGCTGCAGTTTTATAGTCATCTACTTAATCATTGCTCAATTCATATACTGTATCTTATCATGCACATCACATCATATTCATTTATTATCTCATCGCCTATATCATCTTTCATATCATTTCTATGTTTAACCACTATAGTAAAAGACATTTGTAATGGACATTACTAAGGTGATCTTCTTTAATTGTACCCTTTCTCAATTCACACAATTCAAAATAACTAAATTAACTATATCCCTGCCTTTGTCATGACATCACCTTCTAGAGAGTTAGCCTGCTATCAGCCATGCATTAGTTTGAAGACTAAAACACCCTTAGACTAACTTAATCTGCAATTTCTATGTCTTCTTCATGATTATGGCTGCCAATCACCTAGGCAAATTGAAAATGGAGCTTAATAGTTTGCAACCATATTTGGAAATTATGATTTAATTTATTTTATTATAATGGAATCATTTGCTACTGAAAGATATGCAATGCAGTGGTGTTTTGACAAGTGTCAATATAGAATAAGAATTTCATAGCAATTTTCAGAGTCATGGAGTATTCCAGTTTGTTAAGTTGATAGTGATGTACATGTAAAGGTTACAAATAAATAGACTGAAACATGAAACCAATTTACATGCACTGTGTCGTCTTCAACTAGCATTTCCAGAAAAAAAGTCAACAGGTTCACAACAACAAATACACCAGGAGATTGGAAGTGACATTCACAAAAAACCACTTAAGACTTTAAAGATAATATATTTTTTGTTTAGGATAATTTTGTGAAAAATCATATGATGATATTACAGTGTATACACACATTCATTAACTGTCCGGTCATCACATCAACTGATCAGGATCAGAAATATCAGTAGTATATCCATGGTTCTGTGCAGATTTAAGGCATCAACTTTAGCCATCATAAGCTATTGCAAAACTGTGTTTATACATACATGGATAAAAGGCCAAGTCAGTAAATGGGCTGTGTTGATTAAGTGAAGATGTGAAGCATATCAAAACACATGTCATCTTGATGTTACACTAAACTTGATTTTGAGCTTAGAAATACATATCCATTGTTAGCATAAAATGTACAATATTAGAACAGGCTTTTACTGCCTATTAAGTCATTGCTATACAAAAAATTTGAGAGATGGAATGTTTTAAACTCAAGCTAATCTGCAAGATATGTCCGACTTCAAGGAATCCATGTAAGCCTTATTACCAAATTATATTTAAATTCAGCTCATTTTGAAAATTTCAGATCCTCAAGGATTGTACATGAGTTTCAATTCATATGACTTTACAAAACAAGTCTTCAGATTTCAAATTTTCCATTTTACCAAGACTTTGGTGAAGTGAAACTCAATATTTGTTATGATTTTGCATAAAAGTAATGTGATGTGAAATTGAATAAATGGAAGATCCTATTTATGACTCAGCTCAAATACTTTTGCAGATATCTTTGCAAACAGCATGTTATAAGACTGATTCAGAATCCAAAATGATGATGTTCACTCTATCTCTTTCTTGTGTGACTACACAATGCTGATAATGTCATGAAGTTATGTTGCTATGGAAATACGCGGAACCTTAAGCCAATCACAGCTATATTAGTTCATATCACATGAGTTAATGCTCAGAAAACATATTGTCTAGTTAGCTATCAGTTGTCTGATACTTTATTATTATCAAGTGGGCAGAGCTAGATGTTTTTTCCATTGAGATACTGCGTATAAACAATAAAAATTCAATTATTTTTGTTAGCAATATTTGGAGATTGTCTTAATTGACAAATGAGTTTTGAGATAGAAACTTATCGCTCCATTTAATTTGTATGAAGTAATCGTGATATTGGCTGGGTAGCATAGGTTTATTATTACATAATGGTGTATCTTTACTTCACACATGTCCTGTACTTATCACATCATTTATTATTCTAACCTGCATATGTTTGTACATGTGTGCACCCTCTACTACTTGAGGAAGGCACTCGTGTATAACTGGGTAGCTTGTGATATGCATTATTTGCTTGTGGGATATCTTTAAAATAACCAGGATATATACTGTGGTACATGTACTTGAACAAAATGCTGGTGAATAACAAAGCATGCTGTGGGAAAGAAATATCAAATAATATAGCATGCTGGAGGGTAAATCTATCATTGGACAATAACAAGATGGCAGCACATCCAGTTTGTTTTCTCACATTTGCATGCATTTATTATTATATTGAAATAATTAGAACCAATTAAATTGTAAAAACGAGGTTTGGGATATACGTTGTTACTGACATGCTAGATAGTTTTAAATTTTGTGAAGAATTCACTTAAGAATGATGATATCCTAGGAATTGGAATTCCTACACATTTTGTAATAATATCTGTGTAGGTTTTTTTAATTATTATAGAAAAAAGTTATGTTTTTATAGTTTATATTTTCCCTTCCAAAATTCCAAAGTCTTTCTGTGTCTTCTGGAAGGGAAATAATAACCATGTCCTCTCTTTATTATTCTCAGATAACATTAGAGATCATAATGTACAATGGTGGGATTGCACAATCTACCTATTCATAAGTCATTTGTAAATTTATATTAATAACAATAGATTCACAATATTTGATATCAAATTTTGTCCTGTTTTCCGATCATGCAGACATCATGTGCACATTGTACAGTTCCACAACTGTGCAAATCTATCATATGTAATGTGTGTAATGTTTCGCTGAAGAATATAGTTTATGATAAAAAATATCCAGCTTAGTATAAGCATTAGCATTAAACAGGCTATTTTGATAATTCAATTATGTTAAGTTAATCATTTCATTGATATCAATTTTCATTGTCATATGAACTGTTTAAATTTGTTACGTCAATAATACCCAGTGGTTCACCTAAACAGCTGTAATAGTCTGTGAAATGTCCTGTAGTATTGATGCCTACATCTGTAACATATGTTGGTGATGATAATGCAAAGATTTCATAAAACATTACAGCAATATAAATATATCTTAAATCAGTTAAAGTAGTAATTACCAATTATTTATAGATTTTGTTCCACCGTATTATTTTCAGATTGTAATGGAAATGGTTTTTGTCATTCTTTTTAAATCGGTCATGCATTGAATTCATTTTCTGTAATTATAATCCCATGTTGTTAAGCGCATATCTTTAATTGCGGTGTCAGAGAACCAGTCTTTGTATGCATCTCTCCATCCACGTATACTGTGAACAACTTGTGATCAGGGTCAATGATGTCAATAGTCAATACAGAATTTCAGAATATAAAAATTTTAATGATGTTTCTAGGAGGCCCTTGGTGGATATAATTTTATTCACATTTAAATGTTGTACATGTATTATAAGGTTTATCAAATTAGATTTTATTGGAGTCAACAGTCCAGGTTACAAGGTCATGCTTGCCCACTTCGAGGAAATAACAGTTTTGTATGTGGAACCTTGTTTGCCTTCTTTTTATTCCTCAAAACACTACGTCTTTCTATTTTGCCTTTTGCTTCATAAGCCACAATCCTCTTGTTTTACTAACCATATATGAAGCACATGCATACAGAGAGTCTTTTTCTGTTTGTACTACTTTGTTGGTTGTAAATTTCAACTAAAGGCACATGTTCCCAGCAGCTTTATCTCAGTATGGAAATTTTTTCTTTGTAAATGTCACATTCTTTTTACATACGATGGAAATCTATAACACATGTACATTTTACATATTAATGGTAAAACACATAGAGTCTCCTACTGATAGGTTTACAGGGAATATTAGTTCTTTTGCATTTATGTTCAAAGTTTGATTTTTATTCAATTTTCAAAATTCATTGCCAAAATACATGTTACATGATGCAATTGAGTATGATGAAACTAATCTTAGTCTTTATGAAAAAAAATATAGGGATGGGTTTATTGGAAATACTAAGGTATTCCTTTGTAAGTGAGACAAGTATGAAGTTATATGTACCTTTTTAGCTTATGAGAGGCTATGTGACTGTTTGGTGTCATATGGTAATAGTTGCTAATGTAGCATGTGTGTGTATAGCTTATTTTGTAGTACTTTGTGTAGATATTCACTTCTCATTACAAAAAATTGATTATTATGTTAAAGGGACTGGAGGGGAGTGGGGTGGGGAACAAAGATATGGCATCAAAGAGAAGGAAATATGAGAAGATCAAAATCTGCTGTTGTCTTAGTAACAGAATTATTACCCAATTGACATGTTTTAAAGTCCCTTTTTTTTTCCTTGTAAAAGGAAACTTCATACTGATATTTCATCTGAAGCATCCTTTGGTGACGGAGATTCAACCTTTCTTAAACCTCTCCCTGTGACATTATAAAACAGGGTAATATAACAGATGTATGAGTATTATTTTTTTTTCTTTATAGACTGAAAGTTACGATCAGCAAGCCAACAAAGCTTCACTGTCCCCAAGATCAGAGAACACCAGGAAGGCACCATCACCATATGAGACAGAGTCTGAAGAGGAGCCTGTCTTATATAGAGAGTCTGTGATAACGCCTCCTTCTGGGTTCACATCACCACGGGAACAAGATGAGGATCACTCTACTGAAAGTCCTCCTCCTCCACTGCCTGTTAGTCCACCCCCAACCATGGAGGGTACTGAGGTTTGGTCTCTCGCAGATGAGACAGAATCACAGCAATCACTGGAAGTAAGCACAACGTTCAGTGAAGAGGGGGAGGAAATTCAGGAGGAAGAAGGTGAAAGGTCAGCAAGTCCAGATTCACAGGTTAGTGAGAGATCAGACAATTCCATTGTAAGGTCACCGTTAAAGGATACAAAATTGTCAAGCCAGGAGCTAGGGGCTACACACACAACCCTTAGCTCGAATGAATATGATGCCCAGTCGGAGATGTCCAGATCTCTGTCACCAGGGCCCTTCACCTCCAAGAGCGAAGAGTTCCAAAGTATCCACAAGTCTCAAAATTCATTTCATGAAGATGAGAGTGGTTCAGAGCAGGAAGAGGATGATGATATTCTCAAACCAGGGGTATGGTATACTTAAACTATTGTAATTCTCAATATTCTTTCTTTCACAATTATAAAACAAAATTCTAAAACTTCATATTTTGCAAGTACCTTAGTTCCTAATGGAAGACAGCCATTGAAATTTTCTCTCTGAGTACTGGTAGCGGTATTTTTCTCATCGAGGTTCAAAATTCATTTAGCTAAATTTAATGTTTCTGCTGAAAAGTTGTTACAACTTACAATACATTTCTGTGATTGTTTTTAATTAGGAATTTGAAGTGATCTTGAAAAAGGCCGAAGGTAAAGGGTTAGGCTTCACAGTGACTGGTGGAGCTGGTAGGACCGGGGGCTGTTACATCAAGGGTATACTACAGGACCCTGCACTTTCTGATGGCCGGCTGAAACCTGGCGACAAGCTCATCAAGGTAATATACCTTTAAAGTTTTATAGGTATCAGGACAACACCAGTGAATTTAGGTGTCAATGGTATCAAATTTATACATCTGTAATAACACAATGCTAAGGTCTCAAAGTTACACTGAAAACAAACTTATTGATTTGACTTGCCAATTAATATATACAAAAGCTTCTTTCTTCATACAAAATATACATGTATATATAAAGGTTAACTGTTTATTTGGTTACCTGAGTGTGATTAATCGAAAGTGATAAATATTTGAATTGAGATAAAGTTTCATGATGTTTTCTTTAAAAAAAGTTTAATTACCTGAACTTTTTACAGGTAAATGATATTGATGTGGCCGAAATGAACCATTTCGAGGCAGTAACTTACCTCAGACAAGCTCCCCAACTTGTCCAGCTAAGGGTCTATAGGCCCGAGCAATCTGGAGCAGATGACTCCAAGAAGAGTGGTAGTGAAAAAGTTTCACATCACAACATGGGAGAAAGCGATACAGAGCCATTCTCCCAGGTACGTTTACAAAAAAAATATGCTATTTAAAGATGTTGTTTTCAGCTGCTGTAAATTATTCGTAAGAGACCTTTGAAACCTTCACAGTTGACTTGTTATGACATTTGTGTTTGGAACAAAAATTAGTGGCAGTCATTGTAGAGGAGTCCTTTGTAACAATGCTTTTTAGAAAACAGTCTTTAATCCTGCAGGATTAACTCTGTTACAAAATTGTTTCATATATTATTATAGGGAGAAGCTGTCAAGAAGACAGATGATTTATTCTCCTTTTTGGAAGGCCAGGATAAAAACCTTGATGAGGAAGATTCAGAGAGTGAAGAAGAGAACCCCCGGTATCTTGGGAGTAAGGATAGGGACCTTCGTCGTGCCCTATCTGACATTCCGGAGACGAGTGATGCAGCTCAGTCTTCCGGAGAATGCAGTATAAGCGAGTACTCAGACTCCCATATTGCAGAGCAACAAGCAGCTTCCAAGGGGAGAGGTGTATCCCCCTTAGAAAGGCCGGCGTCTGTAGAAGAGTTAGGAGATGTATCTCTATTTAGTAATGTGAGTAATGTAATTTGAGGAGAGTAATTGTTTTTTATAAATGAGTATTTTCAATTTGAATATTTGTTAAAACTATGAAGTAGCTATCAAATACAGATAAATGTAGATTTATTGATCAACTTTTGGATGTAGATTCATTGATGGAATATTAAGGTATAAATATGTATAATTCATATTTCACAGGTTGGGTTGATGAAGGTGGAGTTTGAGAAGCCAAAAGGAAGAGAGTTAGGTATCAGCTTGGTGACAGCCGAGAAGGACAACCAAACCGGTGTATTCATCAGATCCATTGCTGAAAACAGTGTGGCCCACCAAGATGGCCGTTTGTGTGTTATGGACAGACTGGTACAGGTATGTACTCACAGGGACAGACTGGTACGGGTATGTACAGACAGGGACAGACTGGTACAGGTAGGTACAGACAGGGACAGACTGGTACAGATATGTACAGACAGGGACAGACTGGTACTGGGATGTACTCACAGGGACAGACTGGTACAGGTATGTACAGACAGTGACAAACTTGTACGGGTATGTACAGACAGTTACAGACTGGTACAGGTATGTACAGACAGGAACAGACTGGTACAGGTATGTACAGACAGGGACAAACTTGTACAAGTATGTACAGACAGGGACAGATTGGTACAGGTATGTACTCACAGGGACAGACTGATACGGGTATGTACAGACAATTACAGACTGGTACAGGTATGTACAGACAGGAACAGACTGGTACAGGTATGTACAGACAGGGACAAACTTGTACTGGTATGTACAGACAGGGACAGACTGGTACAGGTATGTACAGACAGGGACAGACTGGTACGGGTATGTACAGACAGGGACAGACTGGTACAGCGATGTACTCACAGGGACAGACTGTCACAGGTATGTACAGACAGGAACAGACTGGTACGGGTATGTACAGACAGGGACAGACTGGTACAGGTATGTACAGACAGGGACAGACTGGTACAAGTATGTACAGACAGGGACATACTGGTACAGGCAGTTAACATGATAACATCATGGACAGGGACAGCAAAACAAGAAATCTATAATATATTCAGGTAGATTTGTGATTTACAGGATAACAAACACTTCCCTATTATATTCTGAGTCATGTTTGTTTTATGTTAAAACACAGATAAATGGAGAGTCCTTAGTAGGTTTGACACACACCAAAGCTGTGGCCATGTTGAGGAAGGCAGAGGACAGGGTGACAATGGCCATCTCTAGGTAATGTAGAGCTCAAAAATGTCTCACATCACCTTGAAATCTCCATTTGAATATACTAGATGTATCTTTTTGTTCTTAATTTCGTTTTTTAATATACACTGTATATATTTTGTATTTGATATCAACTTTTATATTTAACATTTTTCATTTAATGTGTTCTTACATGATTTTTTCTAGAAATGTTGAAAGCACTTCAGAAGTGTAATTAATACCTCTTTAAGATGTATAATGCTACTTACTAATCTGATCCTCTGATTTGTAGGCTTCCTTCAAGACAGCTGGAGCTGATGACACCACCGGTGATAATGGAGGATGATGGTATGAACACATGTAAATCTGATTCTGACTACCGGACAGCTGAGGTCAATCCTGAGGAACCTGTCACTTACACAGAGTCAGACAGGGAAGGTTCTGTATATGACTCTGAGGAGGAGGAGGATATGCATGCTCTAGTGTATGAAGCTGAGAAACTTCTGGCTGCTGAAGAAACCATTGAGCTTGAACCTAACGAGCTAAAGGAGGATATGTCTGAAACATCCCAGTCAACAAGGCAAAGAGATAACAACCCAGACTCTGATGTAGAAGCAGCAGAGAAAGATAATAGAAATGAGGCCAGTTTAAGTACAACATTCCTGATAGAAGCTAAAGCAAGGAAGATAGATGTAGACATCCCACAGCTTATTACCAACGACTGGCTTAACTCTCTGCCTTTGTTGCTGGTTGATGAAGAACATGCTGCCACTGTCACTGGACTGATTCCCCAGCTTCAGCGCAAGATAGAGCATGATGATCCTATGGAAGAGTATAAGGTAGGTCAGAGGTTTCCACTTCTGTTCAGATTTGGAATTTGACCTTGGCAGATAATGTAGAATTTAGCATTATCATGGATATATTAAGATTTCATCTTGATGGATAAAAAATTGCAATGAAAAAATATATTACGGTAACTGTTAAAGTATATTTACTAGTGGTAATATTGTTTTAGTGCTTTTTGTGCTGAAAATATTGTGCTAAAGTATGATTGTGCTAATTGAAATAGGATCGTGCTAATTGAAATATGATTGTGCTAATTGAAATATGATTGTGCTAATTGGAGTTTCTGTGTTTTGTTTATACAGCAATGATTGTGGAAGCACTCATTCACCATTGGGTTAATTTGTGGAAAATGATAATGCACTAAAATTTGATTGTACCAAATTGATTATGTTTGTAGTATTTAAGTTCACAATCAATACATTTTAAAATGCTTTAATTTTCTGACAGGAGCTTCGGCTTGTTAAAATGACAGATGGTTGTTCTGTTGGAAAGTTGCCGGAGAACAAGTCAAGAAACAGATTCAGAAACGTTCTGCCATGTAAGTTTTCTGATAAACATTATTTTTATAGGATTTCATTCTCTTAAGTTATGTCCATTTCTTTCAAAGACAGGTGTTCAGTTGGGAGATTTTTATTTTGAAATACTTTGAAGAATTTTAATCAATTATGGTGTTTTACTGCAAACTTAAAGAATGGTTCCGTCTTTTTCAGTTGATTTGAATCGTGTGGAGCTCTGTAGTGACAATGATTATGTGAATGCCAGCCACATTATTCTGAATGTAGTGAACACAGAGTGTCACTACATTGCTTGTCAGGGTCCACTGCCTAATACTTCAGAGGATTTCTGGCAGATGGTTTGGGAGCAGACTGTCAGTGTCATCACCATGTTGACACAGGATGTTGAGTCACGTAAAGTCAAATGCCATCGCTACTGGCCAGATTCCGTAGAGACACCCTTGTTTGTTTGTGAAAGGTGAGGCCTTCACAGTTCCTATAATTACACATATAAACATGTGTAATATTTTGATCAGATATTTCATTTCAGTAATTTCACAGATTCAAGAATTTTAATGCTAGGGACCTCAAAATATTTGAAAATTGTGATCTCAAGTTCATTTTGCTAGCAATATTGTTGCCACCATTTGAAAAACTTTACCTGGTAACTAAGCAGAGGTTATGATGGAAAACATTTTTAAGATTTGTGCATGCGTTATGATAATATTTCATAGAATTTAATAGTTAATGATTTGAAAGAAAATAATTTTTCAGATGGAATCATCTGTTGTTTTTGCATGTACTTAGAAAAGTAACATTATTTACAAAAAATTAACGACTTCTGATTTCCAGCCAATACAAGGTGAGCTTGAAGTCATTCCAGTCCACCGAACATTTGGATATACGCCACATTCAGATAGAAAATGTCACAACAAAGGAGGTCCGGGATGTCCATCACATCAATTACATAACCTGGCCGGACCATGGTGTCCCAGACTCTTCAGTACCTATTTTACAGGTGAGCATGACAAAGCCATGTGCCAGAACACTTGTGCTTTTGACATCTAGGGATAGGAAGAGTCATACAGACCTGAAAATTTCTAGTATAAATATGTTTTTGGTTTTCAAAAGTTAAAATTTTAGCAGTTATACCAATTTTCTCAGAGGTTTATGAACTTTGGTCAACATAACAGTTACCACATCATAAGAAAGGGTGCATTTAATATTCCGATGCAGCTAATTTATGGATTAAATAAAAAAAAATGTTAAAAATTGAGTCTGCGGCATACATGCTGGTGCAGTTTATAACCTGGAAAATATGGTACATCATATAGAATGATAAAAAAAAAGAATCCTAAAAAATCACAGTAAACTAAAAATATCAAAGACAGTCTGCCAGATTTCAGATTGTAGGAGATAGATGTATCACATGTGTGTGCCAGACACAATTTTCTTCCCCAATATTGATAAATCAGTAACAAATATTTCCATTTTATATGTTTTCTTCATTTTTCTTCTCCAGTCTTAATTGTGTCAACAGAAAACAAAGATGTAAGTCAGTCAGAACCATGCACAGTAAACATACAAATAAAGATAAAACCTCTGGTGTTTGGAAAGGGTGTCCTTTATTTATCTGAAGCCAATACTGCTAAAAGAATAATTTCAATATTTCATGTTTCATTTGAATTTTGTTTTTGTAGTGTATGCAATTGGTTCATGCGTATCATACGACGGGGCCACTTGTGGTACATTGCAGTGCTGGAATAGGGAGAACAGGTGCTTTCATCACCATAGACCTGGCTCTGGCTGAGATAGAACGTACTTGTTCGGTAGGTACTATCAGAAAAGTGATATGGTCTCTTTTGTCCTATGTTTCTTATTTGGTTAGATATAATCATAATATATTGTAGAAATGTTATCAGATCTGGAATGAAATATGTTTTATATTGAAACTTCGCTTTAGCAGTACTACTTAATTTGAAAATTTTATTGAGAAATGCCAGTAAGATTGGTTTTCCCAGGATAATATTTTTGTGTGTTTCAGTGTGATATCTTTGAGATAGTGAAGGAGTTGAGGAGACAGAGACCTGGAATGATACAGACAAAGGTGAGGTTTACCAAGTATGATAAGATATAATTTACACAAAAGATGAATACTTACATTTAGGAGGTTAAATCAGTATTATTATAGAAACATATTAATCATTTTTTTTTTCTGATTGAACAGGACCAGTACATGCTGTGTTATTGTGCCTGCATTGAAGCTCTACTTAGTCTGACCAGCTGATAGTAAACACATGCTTGTCAAAAGGTATCTGTGTTCTGTTTTGACTTTGAAACAGGAACAATATGGAAGTTTCCACTTACCTTTTGAGCAAAGGAACAACATGGTATCTGTGTTTTACATTATTCGAAGGAAGGAGGATCTGTTTGACTGTGGGTCACACCAACTGTACTGTGAAGTCACAAATATTTTTTTCGAAAAGATGCAGTTGTTACTAAAACTAATTGGTTGAAATCCTGAATAATTTAGATACTTACAATAGTTAGTGCTACTCTGTAGTTCATATTTGTAACACAAAATAACTTCATTTGATACATTGTATTTATTTTTAATATTAAAGTAACCCAGTGCAATTAATATATGATATTTAACCCATGTCTTCCAGTCCTATATTACTAAGTTCGTTGCTAATGTAAACCACAATATTGCTGTATGTCAGAAGTGTTTAGGCCAGTCATAATTGTTAGATTGTTGTGTTTGACCACCATGTCAGGTGGATGTCAGGTCATGGATATGGTTTGTCTCTGTCAGTCACAGTAGACAAGGTGTGACGTTCACCTTGTTCACCTTGATCAGTTTATATCAATTTCATGTAACTTACATGGTAACCACATTAGATGTTTTTTAAATTTTTTTTTTCATATGTGATCATAGATGGATTTATACAGATTGTTTACTGAATATTGACATAAATAATCAGAATGCTGTACATTTCATTAATAGAAATGTTTAAAAATGAAATTATTCTACAAACAATTCTAAATTGAAGCTAAAAAAAGCCTGAAAAAAAAAAATTGGGGGGGGGGGGGTGCGGGGGGGTTAGACTTCTAATTAGATGTTGTTTTCATGTATTTAGATCAGTTTGATCAGTTTGTATAATTAACCTTTAGTTGTCAACTGCATGATTGTCTTACTGTGACTGTTGGGGACAGACCGTTCTCACTGACAATTTTAGCATTGTACAACACTTGTGGGGATTTGTGTTTGAACATCGATTTTAAACTAAAACATATTTTTATGTGGAATATCATGTTTAGCGAATGTTATTTAAAGATTATTTTTGTATGTATATAATTCTTAATTTGTATTAAAATAGAGGTATGTGATAGTCCTTTACTCTAGTCCTTGTTACCATTTCTTAAGCTATCCATCCTGAAGTTAAGCAGCCATTTCTGAGATGGACAGTTTTACTGTATAATATTGTTAAGATCCTGTGTTCTTCACACTCTTTTATACTTAACCCTTTTTATAGTTCCACTTTTTAAGAATATTGTTTGAGTATATTTTCTTATTTAACCTATTATTGGATTTTTAACATGTTATTTGTGTTCCCTCATAGAACACACTTGTATTGTGTTCATTATCTGTTGATACTTGCATGTATTTATTGTAGGACATGCTGACACAGACTTAATTGTTACAGCTTAGGTTTTGATCTAGAATTCCACAAGACCGAGTAAATCAAACTGAATTAATGATCACAGACAATAACAAATACTGACATAGACAGACGGTGTTATGAATATACTTGGCAGATTTATTATAGCACTTCATCTTCTTCCCAGGATTTCCACAATATAACAAAAATGGCAAAGACAACCATATCATCAACAAAAACTGATATTGTATATCTTGGTGTAAATCTTGGTCATTAACCATATCCCCATTGGCACCCACAGTGTTTGATATAACTTATCCACACTGGCATTGAGGTTCACTCTGGTCATAAGTTCACTTCATTGGGATAAAGATAGTATTTTTACTATTGCTTTTTTATATGGAGAAGAGAATGAGATAAACGAAATCTTAAGTGGAGTAGTTTTCTTTCTGTCAACTCGGATACATTTCATCTTTACAATCATTGTTCTGATGTTATTATTCATATCAAAAAAGTGTTCCTAGCTATGATGTTTAATTATGACCATAACCTTGTTCAGGAGCTTCAGTTGTCTCTCCACTACTGCTTTATCAAATACTTAAAATCTGTCGTCTGTATTGTATCACAAGAACCATACAAATTATGAGTGAATTTTCCTTCGATCATCAATTGGATCTTCAGAGAAAAAGTCTCAACATTTTTGGATAATAAGTAATTTACCATAATACCAATATTACAATATAAACTCAGAGGTCAAATCTAGATAGTCTTTAAAAGGTCAGCATAAGGCTGAGATAAAGCATTGTCACTAGACCTGATGTTGATGTCACTATGATACCTGAGACAGTTTTGTCACTAGACCTGATGTTGACATCAGTATGATGCCTGAGACAGAATATTGTTATAAGACCTTATATTGATGTCACTTTTTGATGCCTAAGTCAGTGTGTTGTCACTAGACCTGATGTTGATGTGAGTTTTGATACCTGGGACAGTGTTGTCACTAGACCTGATGTTGATGTGAGTTTTGATACCTGGGACAGTGTTGTCACTAGACCTGATGTTGATGTGAGTTTTGATACCTGGGGCAGTGTTGTCACTAGACCTGATGTTGATGTGAGTTTTGATACCTGGGACAGTGTTGTCACTAGACCTGATGTTGATGTCAGTATTGATGTTAAGACAGAGTGTTTATTGCTTGACCTGGTATTTGTTTTGTTTTTAAAGATCATGGTTTTCATGTCTTCACTCCTAATCAGGTCTGATTGTTGTTTCAGCAGACATGGTTATGAGTGAATGTTGTTGCCGTGTAAATCTTATCAGAACCCATGGTAACATGGATATGTAGAGAAATGTAAACATGGTTGTGACAAAAAGACGGATATTGAGTGGTGTGCTCATGCTCAGGTATTCTCAGAACAGATGGTATGTGGGGACCAGGAGCCATACTTGTAGGTTACATGAACATTATCTTACAAATACACACACATACATAATTTGGTCTGCTTTTGTTATATGCAAGTACTTGTACTACACTCGAAGAAAAGTGTTAACATCTGTCATTTAATGTCTGCTGTTGATAACTAGAGTTATTGATTTGCATATTGTTTGTTACCATAATCTGTGCCAGTCATTAGCTTTAGTAAATCTTAAAAATAGTACACATGTAGATGTACCTAGTTAATCTCACCCTAGTGTACACAGGTAACTCCTAGTGAATCTCTCCCTAGTGTACACATGTAACTGTACCTAGTTTATCTGTTCCTAGTGTACACATGTAACTCCTAGTTAATCTCTCCCTAGTGTACACATGTAACACCTAGTTAATCCCTTACTAGTGTACACATGTAACTCCTAGTTAATCTCTCCCTAGTGTACACATGTAACTCCTAGTTAATCCCTTACTAGTGTACACATGTAACTCCTAGTTAATCTCTCCCTAGTGTACACATGTAACTCCTAGTTAATCTCTCCCTAGTGTACACATGTACCTGTACCTAGTTTATCTGTCCCTAGTGTACACATGTAACTCCTAGTTAATCTCTCCCTAGTGTACACATGTACCTGTACCTAGTTTATCTGTCCCTAGTGTACACATGTAACTCCTAGTTAATCTCTCCCTAGTGTACACATGTAACTGTACCTAGTTGATATCTCCCTAGTGTACACATGTAACTGTTCTTAGTTAATCTCTCCCTAGTGTACACATTTAACTGTACCTAGTTAATATCTCCCTAGTGTACACATGTAACTGTCCCTAGTTAATATCTCCCTAGTGTACACATGTAACTGTTCCTAGTTAATTTCTCCCTAGTGTACACATTTAACTGTTCCTAGTTAATTTCTCCCTAGTGTCCACATTTAACTGTTCCTAGTTAATATCTCCCTAGTGTACACATGTAACTGTTCTTAGTTAATATCTCCCTAGTGTACACATGTAACTCCTAGTTAATCTCTCCCTAGTGTACACATGTAACTGTTCCTAGTTAATCTCTCCCCAGTGTACACATATAACTGTTCCTAGTTAATCTTTCCCTAGTGTACACATTTAACTGTTCCTAGTTAATTTCTCCCTAGTGTCCACATTTAACTGTTCCTAGTTAATTTCCCCCTAGTGTACACATGTAACTGTTTCTAGTTAAACTCACCCTAGTGTACACATGTAACTCCTAGTTAATCTCTCCCTAGTGTACACATGTAACTGTTCCTAGTTAATCCCTTACTAGTGTACGCATGTTACTGTACCTAGTTAATCTCTCCCCAGTGTACTCATATAACTGTTCCTAGTTAATCTCTCCCTAGTGTACACATTTAACTGTTCCTAGTTAATCCCTTACTAGTGTACGCATGTTACTGTACCTAGTTAATCTCTCCCCAGTGTACACATATAACTGTTCCTAGTTAATCTCTCCCTAGTGTACACATTTAACTGTTCCTAGTTAATTTCTCCCTAGTATCCACATTTAACTGTTCCTAGTTAATCTCTCCCTAGTGTACACATTTAACTGTTCCTAGTTAATCTCTCCCTAGTGTACACATTTAACTGTTCCTAGTTAATTTCTCCCTAGTATCCACATTTAACTGTTCCTAGTTAATCTCTCCCCAGTGTACACATATAACTGTTCCTAGTTAATCTTTCCCTAGTGTACACATTTAACTGTTCCTAGTTAATTTCTCCCTAGTGTCCACATTTAACTGTTCCTAGTTAATCTCTCCCTAGTGTACACATGTAACTGTTCCTAGTTAATCTCTCCCTAGTGTACACATGTAACTCCTAGTTAATCTCTCCCTAGTGTACACATGTAACTGTTTCTAGTTAAACTCTCCCTAGTGTACGCATGTAACTGTTTCTAGTTAAACCCTCCCTAGAATACACATGTAACTGTACCTAGTTAATATCTCCCGAGTGTACACATGTAACTGTACCTAGTTAATATCTCCCGAGTGTACACATGTAACTGTACCTAGTTAATATCTCCCTAGTGTACACATGAAACTGGTCCTAGTAAATCTCTACCTGCTTTGTACATGGTTTGTCCTGTTAATATTTGTGTTGCCACTGCACCTATCTCGTCCTGTGTATAGTCTGCACCTATTTTACTCTCAAATCATATAACATTGTGTCTTTGTATACCAAGTGTACTTATGATTGTTTAATGTTTAATGGGTGTGATGGCTTTATTGTATCCTTTGTTCTAAATGTTAATTTCTTTCATGGCAATAAATTTTAAATTCTTACAGGTATTCCAAATGCATATATACCCTAGCTGCATTTGTGTATACTAATGTATTTGTCCCTTTTTTGTGTTGATACGTACACAGATATTTATGGATTTTAATATATGTCTTATTTCTCCAATGAAAGACCGTCCAAAGATATGTAATTATTTAAGGATTTTATCAATTCAGAAAAGTGGTTAAAAACATATACGCATGATGTTTGCAATGCATGTAGAGACTTTGTATATTGGGTACAATGTAACATTCCTCAAATAGCAATTTCTCATTCAGGATGTAATTTGTCATAAAAAAAATAATCCGTTGGAAAAAAAAAATAAAAACATTGATATCTGTACATACAGCAATTAACGTGTTTGTTTTTTATGTTGGAAAAATGTGAGTTTGTGACCTAAGCTCTTTGTAGTATTTCATCAATAAAACTTGTAAGTTTTGTTTTCTGTGTAGGTCATACATAAAGATAATATGATAAAATTAATGTAAAATACCTCGTCTGTTTATTCAGTATGTGTGACACTTAACTAAAGCTGGCAATGTCAATATCACCAGTAAATGCTTTATTTAAAGGCAATACGGGCTGTCTAATAAGTATCCATTAATCTATTGGAATCAAAATGATTTTAATGTGTAATATGTTGACAGATCACATATACATTTTTCTTCTTTAGCTAACAACCAGTTCGCTTTATTACCACTAATGTGAAGTTTGATCATGCTACAGATTAAGGTCAAGACAGACTTACATATAAGCTGGTAATGTCATATTCTGACCCCATAATAACCGGTTTGTTGCTGCGTTACACTGTCACGAGACTGTATACGAGTTGATTATATTACACGATTTATCACATAATCCAAACGTTATCCAGTGAACTCGTCCATGTGATATGTTCGCGTATGTCACTTCGTTGGCTTAAATGGATATTGATTCATCTATAATGACTGCGTCATGAATTGAAAATGGCTACTACCGTTTGATGTTGTTCCGGACGTTTCTGCTTTTAAATTCTATCAAAATGTCAATTTTCTGAGTTATATAAATAAAGATTTTGAAATTGGTTTTTATTTCATATGAAATCATTTTTTTTGCTTTGCAAGAATGTTAATGGTTTAAAAGACTCGTTACGTAAACCGTATGGAAAGAAATGTCATTTAAGACCCTTTTTATGTATCTTAGAACTAGGTTATCTTGCCCATTGCTAAATCTATCTACACACCCGAAATGATACAAACATAAGTGGCCATTGTTAATAACAACGTAACTCGGTAGTATGAATCCCACGAATTTATTTCGAAAGAAGCTACGGCGTCTCTAGCGAATGGTGTTTGCCTGCCACTCCAAACCACTGTTCATTATTGACAATATACCTAAGGCCGTAATGACCTTCCTGTCTTGGCGGAAGTGACGTCAGCTCCGTGACGGCAACCCCTTGAATTCAAAGGTACAATGTAATGGTCATATTTAGTGAATCAGAAACCTCGTATTTATTCCTTGGTCAGTTCAATGGTCAATTCGTATAGCTTGATTCAAAACAGCGGAAGTATGTGTTGCTAATCGTCGGAGATATTCTACTTATCAAGGATGTCGTGGCATAAGAAAGATCACATTTAGAACATTCGATGCGGACACAACTTCTAGGTTCTGTTCCTCTGTCCTGTTTGCTTATTTTGAATTCTGTTCATGTGACGCAACGAAGTGAAACACGACATGATGCAAGTCTCTACCGAAAACACGACCTTCAGCGGAGGAAGTGTGACGCCAATCATAGGATTTAATGCCACACTTGATTATAATTCAACAACCATTTATCAAGGATTAAATTTTTCATCTATTCAAAACGGTAGCAACTCGAATTTTTTGGATGATGTGAAAAGTCTATGTTGCGATCCGACTACCAGTAGCCTGTTCTCCAATGTCTGCGAGAAAATGATGCTAGCGTTCTTCCTGGATTGGGATACTTACCTAGCGAGCTTCGAGTTGGACAACAGCCCAAAGATCATCCTGACAGTGTTATATGGCGTCATCGTGTTAATATCACTGTTGGGTAATTCGCTCGTGCTGCTGACCTTTGCCTGCAACCGTCACATGCGGTCCACCACAAATGTTTTTATCATGTCTCTAGCTGTCAGTGACCTTCTCTATACTCTCACAGCTGCACCATTTGATATTGTTGTGACCTTCACTACTTACTGGCAATCAGGATCCTTCTCGTGTCGGATGGTACCGTTTATGAACAGTTTGTCCGTGTCCTGTAGCTCACTAACCCTCTGTTGTATTGCTTTCGATAGATTCTACGCCCTTGTGTATCCTCTTCGAGGAAAAATCTTCGAGAGCCAGATGAAAGCATTTGCATTGTTGCTGTTTGTATGGGTTCTTTCCGTAGCTACAAGTTTGCCCAAAGCACAACAGTATGAGTTAGTACCCTACCGGTCGCTCTGTGATACAAAGTACCTGTGTATGCAGCCGCTGGTGAATGGGGTGGCGGAAGAGATCCTCCAGACATGGCTACCATTTACATTGCTGTTCATGCTTCCTCTCATTATCATGTCTGTACTTTACGGTATCATCATCTATCGCCTGTGGATTAAGCGTCCCGTCGGTTCATCAGTCCAGCACACGCAGAGCAGTCAGTTGAGAATCAAGAAGAAAGCCATTAAAATGCTGCTAGTGGTTGTGTTCTTGTATGTAATATGCTGGATGCCTCTCCAGTGCTTCAGTATAATTACTCAAAAGTCGAACGTGCGTCCTACACAGACCATACGACAGCTGCAAAAGTATCTGCAGTGTTTGGCGGTGAGCAGCTGTTGTTATAACCCTGTCATATATACACTGATGAATGAAAAATTTCGTAGGAATTTTCTTAACATTATCACGTGTAGAAGGACGAAGGTATTTCCACTGATGATCAACTCCAAGGTCGAGCATCAGAAACGGCAGCACAACAAACGGAAGATCCAGCCTCGTCACCAACACAAGGTGTCAGAGGAACCACCGAGCAGAGACACCTTGGAAACACGTCTCTAACATTATTTGATATACATAATCACGACCATAAAGGTGAGAAAGAATGGAATCAAAATTCGACCATATCAGTGAATGCATGCGATATCAATAACATAAAGATGGAAACACGGAATACGACATACATGGAAGTGTAGCTAGGAAAGGAAACAGGACTTCGTATTAAAGACGTTGTATTTTTCAAAGGAATTTCAAGCAAAAAATTAAGTGAAAACAAGTACGAATGGAAATACGTGTAATCTTCAATAGAAACACGGAATCTTTAGACGGAGTATGTATGGAAATCAAAGAAATAACACGGTACCTTACATCAGTATAAACACGGAATCTTTAGACGGAGTATGTATGGAAATCAAAGAAATAACACGGTACCTTACATCAGTATAAACACGGATTCACAGAGTATGTATGGAAATCAAAGAAATATCACGGTACCTTACATCAGTATAAACACGGATTCTTTAGACAGAGTATGTATGGAAATCAAAGAAATAACACGGTACCTTACATCAGTATAAACACGGATTCTTTAGACGGAGTATGTATGGAAATCAAAGAAATAACACGGTACCTTACATCAGTATAAACACGGATTCTTTAGACAGAGTATGTATGGAAATCAAAGAAATAACACGGTACCTTACATCAGTATAAACACGGATTCTTTAGACAGAGTATGTATGGAAATCAAAGAAATAACACGGTACCTTACATCAGTATAAACACGGAATCTTTAGACAGAGTATGTATGGAAATCAAAGAAATAACACGGTACCTTACATCAGTATAAACACAGGAACTTAAGACATTATAGTGTGTGTACTGAAATGATAAACCATGGTTTACAAATGTAAACATAGAAACGTGTAGGAGAGAAAATGTGGAAAAGGGAATGAAAGTTTTCAAAATAGTCCATGGAAAGCGTGATAATAGCTGTATTGGAGTATGTTCACTACGCCAAGATAAGCAATGACAGTTGAATATAAACAAAATTATGATAATCAAAACTTCTACAAACACGGGAACAATTAGAGAAGGCGGTTTGAAATGAGAACAACTTAAATGTTTAAACCGGAAATACTACTGTATATTAGACGATTTCATCATGTTGCCTGTCTCATTTTGACGTTTTTCTGAGTTTTCCTTGTGTGAAAGCACATAACAAACAAAAAACGACTGTTCGAATAATATGATTTGTGAGGCCGTTACTTATACGAAAGTGTTGCGATATCGCATTATTAATCTCAAAGCAGAATACATTACGTTGAAGTGGACAATTTGGTAATTCAGATCTAAATGTGAATGTTTTCATAAGAAAATAGGAACACAAACGCGGAAAAAGTATTTAAATCGTATATCAATATCTTTGTACCGTATATTTGTTAGCAATGTTCGAGTTATCGTCCTTCATATGTGTATGATGTTGATCTAATGATAAGCAATAGTTTGAGAGTTAAGCTCAACAAAGTCTGAATACATAGTTTTCTGATCGTATATTTACCCGGCTTTAGTTTATTGTTTTTCCCGACAACTTTTATGATATATTTTGCAGCATTTCGACCCATCTGAAGAGCCTCATTGACCTCCACGTTTAGTGGCAATATTCTCGTTGTATCCTTGAAGCTGACTATGATGAGATTTTTGTCCTTGTTAACTCTCACTGACGTCATATGATAGATACGTCACGTGGTATCCTCGTTGAATGGATTTGTCCGCAATAATCTTTACGCTATCGACTTTGTGTCTTGATACAAAAACGTACATACATAACATTTCCTCAGTGACGATTACCAGGTCGTTTTTAACTCATTTTGACGTGTTTCACGTCTGCAAAAAATGTGCGGGCTGAACTTCAGCAGACGGATTAGATGTCGGAGAGCCTAGAATCATCAAATCATTTCACATTGACGTCTTATCTTTAATGAATATACTCGCAAATTGGCAAAAAATCTTGATTTGATCTAACAAAACGACTTTATGACTTCATTTATTTGTCCTGAAGGCGTAGTTATATGGGTCCAGCTTCTCTTATTTCGGAACTTTTTAAACAGATTGTGAATGTCTCCTGTAGACCTTGACAGAGAATGGAAGCCAAGGGACACCACGCTAATATAGCAATATCACTATAAACTACGCCAAGTTACATCACACTTCCGATAAGGAATGGATGGCCTTTCTACTAAGTCTGTGTAATTGGACATGAAATCAGTTTCAAATGAAAAAGTCAGAACGACAGGGTGATATAACGTGTAAAATTTACGATGTCGTCGTCATGATTACGACATCTTTACAGACAATTTCAGACAAAAAAGTGTAACATGACCCGACATTGGAATACAGCACGAGTGATCGTCGATAAAATACCGCGATCATGACACAATAGGCGTATCGCCTACAAACCATCCGATCCCAAAACAGAAACCCTACACAGACCCATGCTACTTATACTTAAAACTTGGGTGAGGGAGTTAGGTATCGCTAACCAGGGTACTCATCCTCGTAAACAATGCTGATCCGTTCAAGAAAAGTCACGAGTTTTGCAGAAATATCTCCAACACCGGGCCACAATCATTCAAACTTGGTCCCATCAATGAAAAATTTTAACCCTGGCAAATTTAGAGCTAGTGTTAAATATCAAAGTGAAAATACAAAATTGTTCATAAATCGATATCTGAATATTTATAGTTTTAATTTCAATTTTCACCTAGCTACCATGTTTCTAGAATTGAAAAAAATGCAATGAATTATAGCCAGGATTGTTTGAGGTTTTAAGAACTCGCAACAGCTGTAAGATAATTAAAGGCGGTGTAAACAGATGACTAGCTGAGGGTCGTTATATGACAAATATACGAATTACCGTCGCGATATCGACACACCAAACTGATAATTGTCATTTCGCCCTTACCGACACTTATGAGTGATGCACGCCAGGCGGAGAGCGACACCTACCAATTCTGAGGATGGAATAAATAGCCATCATTGGTCAGGAGATATCTAAGATATATTATCAAAGAATGCATTAGGCAGAGAAAAATATGTCGAGGAAAATCTAGAAAGCTAAGAATTGTATTGAAACCAAGCAGACACTGATCTTAGTCTTTTGTACATTTGTCATTCCTTTGTTATCTAGTATTTCTTTAAGATAACGAGATATTTCTGTACCATACATTCCCTCATGGTGTAACCTGCATTTTTATTTATCTTCACATTTCATTCCAGGCGAGACTGAGCTAAATCGATCTCGAACACGTACAGTTTTTTCCTCGCACATGATGGTGTAAAAATGGATTAAGCCCCATTGACTATTTCTGAACACTGCAATTCGAGATAATTATATCCAGTGTGGACATGCGTCAGATTCCATCGTCTTATTAGAGAAATCCCCAAACGGGACATGTTGACCGATTTAACCAAAATGACCAGAAACGGACAAATCTGGCTCAAGTAATACATTCGGTCTTTTACACAACTTTGCACTGGTCAATTTTCATGAATTGATAAGCTGAAAATATAATTAATATTTGTCGTCTCAGTGTCGTTAACACTAACTTTAAGATAACTTTGATATCAACTGTTTTACTTTTAAATAATTTATAAGTACGAGTTGTAGATGTAGTTAGCTCGATACTGGATATATCGCTTCATCCAAAATAGTACATAACATGTGACAGTATCAATGATTGGCTATGTTATATGATAATATCACTACCCTACTGTCGTTTTTTACATCTTAAGAATACAGACAAATGTGACATGATCTTCCCCGATTGGAAAATTTCAATCGCATGTACATTCAAAAAGATATTTGTAAAATGACCTTACAATTTAATCTACGTCAACTACCATTGCCTTTCTAACGCATAAAAACATATACGGTCATGTTGTTTTGATTTACATTCGATACAAATTTAAAGGAGAAACAAATTATCGTACTCGACAAATGGAAGGCTCATGCGTGATAAAGACAATAAAAAAATCGTCTAGAGAAATTATGTTTAATAAAGATTATTTGATGGAACCTTTGATACACATTTCATTCAGACATCAGACAAACATATGTACAGAATCAACATTACAGTAGAGGACAAAGCACAAGAAGAGGATTTAATAAACAGCAATTGTGTACTCCAGAAATACTTATGCTATAGAGCCGTTTGCATGGGTATCTAATGTCGCCTTTTTTACACTTTAGAAAAAAAGTCAGTATCACTAAGCATTGCATCTTTGACTCCAAACAAGTCCGATATACTATTCACGGAATACGTACTGTGGGAGGGGTTGGGTGAGATGGGGTTTGGGATGGCGTTAGTAGAAGGGGTTGGGTGAGATGGGGTTTGGGATGGAGTTAGTAGTCTTTGAAGGATCTATAATTTTCATACATTGTCGAACATCTTGGTTTGCTTGCATATCATAAGATCGTTGTTCAAGATGTAGTTTAGTACACCAGAGAACAATAAGAGAATACTATTATTTCAAAGACCAAAATATCCACGCGGTTACCGAACTCATCCCTTAGCCAAAAGTACATTATTTTTAACTTAAAACGTACCAAATCTCTCCTATCGATCGGCATGAAGAACCACGTAACCTTTCTGTAAGATACAGTGTTATTTGAACTTCTGAATTCTATAACAAGCTACTACCATCCTTTATTGAATAAAATAATGGATTCGTACTTAAACAGAATGATAATAAAACACTCTCCGCATTTAAATAAGACCATTACGTACGTTCGTTGTCTTATTTCTATATATTACATTTTGAGTCAATTTAATTGTCACTATAATTGCTAAACTTGGAAGAACAAATCAATCCTGTTTTGTTTTAGCCTAGCCTGTACTATTTTGTTCCTGATTAAAACCTTTGCCATGTGACAAACTTTTTCTTGTCGTTTTTTAAAGTCTACATTAAAGGAAAGATTTTGAAGTTACAAGAATTCAGCGTGGATAGCACGTAAGCAGTCTCCTTCGGTTTGCTTTATAAATAACAATTTGTATATTCTT